CTTTTTAGAACTCACAGTGGTGGATTTATGGTTGCCTTATTTTGACAGCAAGGGTGGAGAACCCTTCAGTTGTTGCTGGACTCCAACTCACATCAGTCCCAGTCAGCATGGCCAATCGTCGGAGATGGTGGGATATATAGTCCAGCAATATTTGGAAGGTCACAGGTTCCCTTCCTCTGATCCACACAATAATCAATTAATGCCTGGATACAGGGGACTCATATGCTCTGCTGTCAGATTAAAAGTATTTGCACAGCGTACTGAATGCACATGCAGTATGTAAATGAAAATGCAAGTGACGTCATCGCTGGTTTTCCCAGATATGGGAGATCACTAAATGAGGACGGTATGCAATGTACAGATGCAAAAAGAGATGAAAAGTATCCTATGCAATTCACCATACTACATGCAAAGATCCCACTTGAATCATGTTATGTTTATACTGGGCGTGAACTTGGTTTGCTTTGTTTACAGAGAGAAACATCTGGTTTTAGTTAGCTTTCCAGACAATGCTGGCCAAGCATTCTTCAAGCCACATAAAAACAAAAAGATGCAACAGTCAACACCCCTCCCCCATAAATCAGTTGCCCCTTACAGAAAGAGGGAGACATTTCAGTGCTCTTTTTGGACAGGGCAGATTCATAACTATCAGGCCAAGCTCCTTCCTTTAAAAATGTCACCACTGAGACAAATGGAATCTAGTTCAGAGAGAGCAATAAAATTTCTTTTGTCCTAAGGCAGGTTTGTGCAACATAATGGCTGTATTCAGATAAGTTCTACACAGAGCAGATCCAGTGAAATGAATGGATGTGAGTTAGTAATGTTAGTTTGATTTCAGTGGGTCTACTCTGAGTAGGACTTACATTGGGTACAACCTACACCCTTCAAATCATGCATGTGCCAGCCTAGGTTATTCATTGGGTGATATTTAAGCCCTCTGCTTTTACGTAGCACTCAGGCTTGCTGGCATCCCTTTCAGGAAGCAGTACGGAAAAACGGGAGAAAGTATGCCTGTGCGTGCAGAAAAAAAGTATGAATTATTACAAAGCATTTGTGGGGCAAAGACTTCATGCTTGCACTAGCCTACCAGCGCTTTCAAAGGAGACAGGAGTGGTCTCTGCATGAGCAGATTCAACTCCTGTGGTTTACAGCACAATCCTGGGCACATTGACTCAGCAGCAATTGAAGCAAATAGTCACTTCATAGCAGGGGGTTTGTAAGGAGGGGAAAGAGAAGACAGAGTAGGGCCACGGAAGTGTTGTGCTACTTACTGCTCATGCCTCTGTTCTTTGTGGGAAAGAATGGGAAACATCAGGTCTTGGCCATCAGGCCCTTGGGATTCTCCACAGGCCACACCCCCTACCAGCCTTGCTTGTACAGTGGTACCTCGGGTTACAGACGCTTCAGGTTACAGACTCTGCTAACCCAGAAACAGTGCTTCAGGTTAAGAACTTTGCTTCAGGATGAGAACAGAAATTGTGCTCCAGCGGCACAGCAGCAGCAGGAGGCCCCATTAGCTAAAGTGGTGCTTCAGGTTAAGAACAGTTTCAGGTTAAGTACGGACCTCCGGAACGAATTAAGTACTTAACCCCAGGTACCACTGTATGTTTTTGCCTGACTGGATTGCATCCTGGAACTCTGATCATGCCTCTTGTTTGCCTCAATGGAGGACAGTAAAGGGTATGTGGAAAGCAGCCTATTGCACAAAGGGAACATTTACATGCATTTACATTTACATGCATTTACATTTACATGCATTGCTCTGCCCATCATTGGCATGTGGCCCCTGGAAAGATTTTCAAAGAGCAATGTGGCCCCCAGGCTGGGGGTGGGGAAATCCCCACCTCTGCCTGTGAGTATGGGGAGCCTGCAGGGACTGTGAGTGTAGGTTATTCCCACTCTTCTTTTTAGGATTGCTGTGGGCAGTAGCTGTTTGGTGTGCTCAGTATATATCCTGGAAGGCAAAAGTACACATGAACATTTGGCCAACTGTTGCAGTGGATGGAATTGAGGGCCTTTGCTTTTGTCAACAGAGAGCTTCCCTGCATGTGAGGATGACCTTTGTTCTCTCTCTTTGAGAAAGATGAGGGGAAATACACCCAAACTGGAAAGGGTGGGTTTTTCCCTGGTTACTAGTAACCCTACTGACAACTCACTGTTGCATGTTCTCATCTTGTATTTCTTCCAAGAGGGATTAATTATCATAGTTCACTTGAGCAAATCATATGCTCAGCTCCTCTGAGTAATGCAGCAAATTACTGGAAAGAGCCCAGATGTTCTAGGATTCTCTGATTTAACCAGCAGACAGGACACTGGACTAGACTGGGCATAACCTTTTGAGCCAAAAAAATGCAGCGCCCTAAATTGTAATTTTAGGAAATGCTGAAGCAAGGCCTTCATCCTATATGGAGCCCAAATTTTCAAGATGCTTAAAGGAATAGATTATTTAATGAAAGAAATGAGAGTGGAAGTTTGCAACAAGTGTTATACAGTATTGCAATGCCTTGCCTGCTATTGAGCTGTAGAAATTACATGAATCATATAATGAATCATATTATATAGCTACAGAGACTATCACGCCCTGTTTCTGAGTGTTGGACCAGATGATCTGATCCAGCAAACCAGTTATTACGTTCTTGTCAGTGTGCAAAGCCTGCTTTTGTTAGGTGTTGCTATGAGGTAAATTAGTATCACTCAGCTTCGGCCTTTTATTTGTAAAATGGAAATACAGTAGTCACACAAACTGTGAATAGAGAGGAGATTTGCTCTCCATTTCATAATACAGTCATATCTTGGTTTTCAAATGCCTTGTGACTCGAATGTTTTGGCTCCCGAATGAGTGTTCCAGTTTGCTAACTTTTTTTGGAAGCCGAACGTCCGACGCGGCTTCTGCGGCTTCCGACCGAGTGCAGGAAGCTCCTGCAGCCAATCGGAAGCCATGTCTTGGTTTTCGAATGTTTTCAGAAGTTGTATGGACTTCTGGAATAGATTCCGTTCGAGAACCAAGGTACGACTGTACTAGAAGTCGGGGACATCCAGGGAAGCCAAATGTTGGAAGATTCAGGACAGACAAAATAACTTCTTAACACAGTGCATAATTAAACTATGGAATTTGTTCCCACAGGAGGTAGTGATTGGATCACCATTGGCATGGTGTGCACTGATGATGATTGGACCACAAGATTAGCAGGCACTATGCTGAATAGCTTTAAAGGACAAATACTGTAGATATACGGATAAGGGTATTATTAGTGGCTACTAGCCAGATCCAGGGACGCGGGTGGCGCTGTGGGTAAAACCTCAGCGCCTAGGACTTGCTGATCGCATGGTCGGCGGTTCGAATCCCCATGGCGGGGTGCGCTCCCGTTGTTCGGTCCCAGCGCCTGCCAACCTAGCAGTTCGAAAGCACCTCCGGGTGCAAGTAGATAAATAGGGACCGCTTACCAGTGGGAAGGTAAACGATGTTCCGTGTGCTGCGCTGGCTCCCCAGATGCAGCTTGTCACGCTGGCCACATGACCCGGAAGTGTCTGAAGACAGCCTATAGAGTGAGATGAGCGCACAACCCTAGAGTCTGGCAAGACTGGCCCGAACGGGCAGGGGTACCTTTACCTTTATCTTTACTAGCCAGGTCCAGCCTGCCCATGAGGCAGAGTGAGGCAGCTGCCTTGGGCGGCATAATGCCAAGGGGTGGCCTCCTGCCGCTGGCGCCACCATCAGAGAAGCAAAGAGATCTAGTGGTGATGGCAGCTTCTGGTGAGATCTTGAGGAACTCTCACAAGATATTGTGGAAAGTTCTTCCTGATGTTTAGTTGGAATCTCCTTTCTTGTAACTTGAAGCCACTGGTTCAGGTCCTACTCTCCACAGCAAGAGAAAACAAGCTTGCTCCAACTTCCATGTGATATTCAAATATCCTTTAGAATATTTGAAGATGTCTATGATATCTCCACTCAATCTCCTTGTATCCAGGCTAAATATACCCAACTCCCTCAACCATTCCTCATAGGGCTTGGTTTCCAGACTCTTGATCATCTTGGTTGCTCTCCTTTGCACAATCTCCAGTTTTTCCATATCCTTATGGACACCCAGAACTAGACACAGTACTCCAGGTGGGGTCTAAGGCAGAATAACTTCCCTTGATGGGAACACTATACTTCTGTTGATACAACCTAGAATAGCATTAGCTTTTTTGCTGCTGCTGCTGCATCACACTATGGGCTCATGTTAAGCCTGTGGTCTTCTAAGACCCCTAAATCCTTTTCACATCTACTACTGGTAAGCCAGGTGTCCCCCATCTTATATCTGTGCAGCTGATTCTTCCCATGGGCGTAGGCAAGGGAGGGGCAGTTAAATAAAAATCAATAAAAATACATAGCTGAGGTTCTGCCCTCCCCAACAAAAGGCATGCGTCCCCCAACGAAAATCCTGGCTACGCCCATGATTCCTTCCTGTTTAAGGGTAGAACCTGACATTTGAACCTATTGAAATTCTTTTTTGTTGGTTTTGGCCCAGTTCTCCCGATTCTGCCACTAACTAACTAACTAACTAAATAATAATAATATTTTCTTTATACCCTGCCCATCTGGCTGGGTTGCCCCAGCCACTCTGGGCGGTTTCCAACACTACTACTGAACTACTACTACTAATAGTAACAACAACAACAACAACCATTTATAATAACAATCAGACCCAATATTAAAAGTCACACTAACTTTAAAACAAACAATTTATATCAAATAAAGCAATAATAAATTCAATAAGCCATTAGGATCCGATAGTAAACAGTAACAGATATGCAGTTTCTTCGGTTATTTTCATCAGTGCCTAACTAACTTAAACACCGATTGCGGGATGTTGGAGGGGGAAGCAAGCGGCAAATTCTGAGAGGCTTTTCCTTTCGGATTATTGGAAGAGGTGCTATTCCTCACTTTACGGTAGGGGCGACCCTCTCGCTCCTCCCTCCCATCCCCTTCCCTCTCTCGGCCGCCGCAATCGCAGCCGGGCTTAGTGTGGCGCTGCGCGCCGCCAACTCTCTCTCTCTATCTCTCTCCCACTCGCTTTCGCGCGCGCGCGCTTCCAGGAATGCCCCGGGCGGCGAGGAAGGCGCTTTAGAAGATGCCCAGGCTGGAGGCAGCTTGCCGTCGGGCGGGCGGCATGGCGACGAGCGGCGAGGCGGCGTCTCCCCCTTTGCGCGGCTGAGGCTCTGAGGCTGCCGCCGCCGCCGCCCGGCGCACAATGAAACTCTACTGCAAAGTGGTGGCCCTGGCGCTCTGCCTGGCGCTCCTGCTGCTGCTCTACCTCTTCGTGGGCAGCGACGCCGACGAGCCGCCTTTGAAAGCGGCCGCGGGGGGAAGCCGCCCGGCGCGCGCCTCCTCCTCCTCCGGGCCCGGCGGGGACTTCGCCGCGGGGCGCTTCCGACCCGTCCAGGCTGCAGAGGAGCGAGAGGAGGAAGAAGAGGCGGCGGCGGCTCAGGCTCAGGTTTCCAAGAGGGAGCCACGTCTCCACAGAAAAACGGGCAGGCGCGGCGCTGCCCGAGGGAAGTTTGCGAACGTGAGGTAAAGCCTTCAAAAAAGAGGCATTTTAAAAATATGCATTATTATTTTCAATGCATTTTATGCATTTCTCCACTACTGTAATTGCATTGTCTTCTGCATGCTTTTCGGTCATGAAACACTCTAGCGATCTGTTTTTGGCTGGGATGGGGAGTTTGCAAAGATGCGGGAGGGGGCGGCTTCTTCAGTGTCATGTGGTCTCGCAGCCTCGGATCCGGAGAACCCCGCGAAAGTTTCCTCGGATTGCAAAGGGAATATAAATCGGAAGGATGTTCGGGATTACAGCTCTAAGGGGCTGCTCTGCAGGGCGCAGATTAGCAGGCGGACCTGATGCGCCTTCTGGGTACCTAAGGATGTGTGAAAAGGATGTTCTGTCTCTCTGTCTCTCTCTCAAGCACACACCTTTATATATAGCATTCACCGACACTTACAAGGAGGGTCCTGGCAATGCAAATTGTATCCTTTTTTACACCTACCTCACATTGCTCAATTGCGTGCCTGCCAGTTTTGTAGTTTCCTCTGGGCTTCTTCCCATGACCCTTGGGGTTGGTGTAGCTGAGTAGCGCTGTCTGAATGGTGCTCCTACTTTTTGGGAGAAGATGATAAGCCTGTTGACACATGGTGCTGTACACGTGTGCAAAGAGTAGCACAGATGCTCATGTGAATGGAGTATATGGTTGGTGAATTTGAAAAGTCAGTGCAAGGACTGAACTCCAAAATGCAGAGTACTGATTGAATGCGCTATGACTGCCCATGCGTTGAATGTGTATGATCATGCGCAGTGTTGTGCAGAGATGGGACTCAGTCCTTTTCCTGCTCACTGCTTAGGTATATTTTGCTGAAATGACTCTATAGGTACCACACAGGACAGCACAAGGTGCTTTGTTCTATGGGATCTTACCATAGTACATGCCAAGGGAGGAATGATGGCTTTTAAAGATGCAATCCAGTTATAAACCCATTTACTGAAATGAGAGATAAATAATCTGCCGCCTCAGCCAACAGTGATGTGAAAAATAGCCCTTTCCAGAAAAACTTCCTGGATCAGCAGCTGAAGTCAACCTCACTTTTAATTCATTTTGTAGAATATTTGTGCCTTTCCCTGTTTAGGTTTGCCTTATTTTTGATGGTTTTGTTACACAGCCATGATCTTCATATAAGGGCAGGTGGGCAGAATGTACACTTGTTACTTGGGAAGGCTGGTATGCAGCATCTTCAAGTACCGTATTTTTTGCTCTATAAGACGCACCAGACCACAAGACGCACATAGTTTTTGGAGGAGGAAAACAAGAAAAAAAATATTCTGAATCTCAGAAGCCAGAACAGCAAGAGGGATCGCTGCGCAGTGAAAGCAGCAATCCCTCTTGCTGTTCTGGCTTCTGGGATAGCTGCGCAGCCTGCATTCACTCCATAAGACGCACACACATTTCCCCTTACTTTTTAGGAGGGAAAAGTGAGTCTTATAGAGCAAAAAATACGGTATATACTTGTCCCAAAATAAACACTGGCAATTCATTTCACAAATGCTACTAACACATGTTTCTGGATGTCACGTGTGAATCAGCTTGCAGTTCCAAGTGGAACTTCTTTTGTGTCTGCTCCCTAGTTTAGCAAATTTCCATTCCCCAGAGCAGAAAAACGTCTGGGGTAGGGTTGTAGGAAGAAAAAAATATTGAGGTTTCCCAGTTCAGTTTCTTTCCCTTGGTTTTATGGGTTGTATATGCGTTTCCATTTCCATTTTCTCATTCTTGAGCCTGGCGAGTCGATTGATGGCTCTTTTAAGATAAGCTTCCAGCAGAATTTTAAACAGATTCTTTAGGCAGGGTGGAATTACATTCTCCTTGCCTGGTTTTCTTTTGAAACAGTCATGGCTAGACTTATGAAGATAATGTTAATATTAGAAACAAGAACACGGGCTATAAAGATTTTTAAAAGTATTTCACAAAAACATTATTGTCTGCCACACGATGAAAATGTTTGGAAGTTAAATGCACCTTTCTGTATCTATGAAATCCAAGTAGATGAGTCATTAGAGAACTGAGGTCACCTCTCTAAATAATAATAATAATAATAATAAAGCAAAGACGGGGGCCATTTGGATATGGATAGTGGTTCTAGCAGAAGCGGGAGCATTTCCCCTTGAAAATCATGCACATAGCCCCCAAGTTGCTATTTTAGGGGGAGATGCAGGTTAAAAGCTAAATTTATGCTGTCCCGCTCCCCATCGCACAGACACGCTCTAGTCTAGTGCATCAAAGTGAAGGAGAGGGAGTCATGACAGGTGTGTGGCTTTAATGTTGCTGGTAGAATAATACGAAGCTGAATAAAACACCTTTAATCCAGACATTTAATTAAATGTGTGTGAACTGCAGTTAGGAAAACATACTGTAATTTACTTCTTCTTCTTTTTTTAAAGGTGAAACTAAAATGCTGGAACATAACAACTTTTTAATTCATGAAAGTCTAGATAATTGCTATGTGGTGTCCCTGAGCTGGGAAGCTGCTCTCCCATCCCTTTTCTAGCTCAGTGTGACCTCATCTTTCAAACAAACCCTGTGTGTCTTTGATTCATGATTTCACAGAGATGTTCTGAATGAAAGACTGCCCCATTCTCCGAGGTCTTATTCTTCACCCTATTAAAGCGGCTGGTTTCTTACCAGCATTGTATCTGATTGTGAGCAAGGGATGTTTATTGTGACCGGGAGTGGATCATGGACTGAATTCAAATGGGTGTATTAAGGCAGGATTATCTTCCGTTAGCAACTATACCTCCTGAAGTCATTTTTCTTCAGAGCATATCTCTTGAGTTTATCGTGGACAGTACCAAACAAATGAGAAGCAAATGTGGTTAAAAACTCCCCTGTGAATGGATAAGCGAGGGTGAGATAGTTAATGCTGGCTATAAAAGGCTACAAGGATATGGCACAACAGCCCCCTATGCCAGCAGAACGTGACCCAACTGTGCTGGCTGGGGCTGATGGGTATAGAACACCTGGAGGGCACTAGCAGAACTGTGAGAATACCCTGGGGCAACACTATGGCACCTTATCCTTCTGTGCCAAAGCAACTGTGCCAATGTAGCATCAGAAAGAGGGTGAAGATGCAGTGGGTGGAACTGGAGAAGAGACAGGCTTGTGCCTTCCCTTGAATGAAAGATGGGGTATACATAACAGAGCAAATAAACAATGCCTAGGGGAAGGGCCACAGCTCAGTGGTAGAGCATCTGCTTTGTGTGCAGAAGGCCCTGGGTTCAATCCCCGGCATCTCCAAGTAGGCCTGGGGGAAACTCTTGCCTGAAACCCTGGAGAGCCTCTGCCAGTCATTGTGGACGGCACTGAGCTAGACGGAACAATTGGCTTGACTCAGTGCAAGGGAGCTTCCGGTGTTCCTTTGTATATATGCCTGGTCCCAGGTTAGGATCGCTTAGATGATAACCGTGGTGATGGGTCTGTTGCTGGCTCCTGTCTCAGATTGTGCGCCTCTCCTCCCAGTAATAAAAAAAGGAAGCACTGCACCAAGCAACATCTCTCCATCTCTCTCCAGAGATGATGCTGGAGCACATTGCTAACACTTCTCTGCCTAGAACGCCAACAGCCAACAGCCCCACTGACAGAGCTGGGAATGACGGGACAGAGCACCCCACACAGGTAAGCAAGGGAAGCGGGGCGGTGGGGGGACGACGTTCTGCAAAAAGTGTATCCTCTGCAATCGTATGCCCCTTGCTCCGTGTGAATATTGACTCTTGCCCAAGCTGTGCAGCTGCAGCGCCGTTCCCCTGACAGCAAGGAGCAGCGTCTGCTATATTGGGGCAAGTGCTCACCCACCCTACTCCCTGCTGGCAAGCTCTCTGTCTGTGAATGCGAGGCAATCCATTCCAGCCACTGCCAGCCAAAACACTCACCGTTATTTTGGCCTTGCAAGATCACTGCCCAGATGCATGGCGGAGTAGAGCAAGCTGTTGTCATGCCATGCTCCCAGGGGTCCACTGCAGCCCCTGAGGGCAAAGAAGAAGAAGAAGAAGAAGAGTTTGGATTTGATATCCCGCCTTTCACTCCCTTTAAGGAGTCTCAAAGCGGCTAACATTCTCCTTTCCCTTCCTCCCCCACAACAAACACTCTGTGAGGTGAGTGGGGCTGAGAGACTTCAAAGAAGTGTGACTGGCCCAAGGTCACCCAGCAGCTGCATGTGGAGGAGCGGAGACTCAAACCCGGTTCCCCAGATTATGAGACTACTGCTCTTAACCACTACACCACACTGGCTCTCCCCAGTCACTGGGACAGGGACCCCAGTCACTGTAGACTGACGCATAAGCTTCCTGTTCTCTCTCACCTCCATGCATTTATCTATTGTGCATCCAAGGCTGCTACTATTTTTGCCTGTTTTGATCATTACCCTCTCTCTGCCTTCCCTTCCACAGGACCTTCTCCCACACGCTGCTTTGTGCAGACTAGGATGGGAGACCCACCTTGTGACCAGCACTAGTGGCCAGGATGCACCCAGACAGCTTTGACAGCTGTGTGACACCTGCGAAGGTGCTCACAACATAGCGCTGGAGCCCCCGGGAGGTGGCTACTGTCCGCCCTTTGGAGAGCCACTGCACCAAGGCACAGGAGCCCTACCGCAGCAATTGTCTGGCAGCCCTACACCTGTGTACCTTTCTCTCTCGGCATTTCCTCCACCAATAAAAGCTATGACTTCGCCACACGACCTTGCTTCTTTCTTGCCAGGGACCCCTTTTCCTCACGAGTATGACCTTTGCTCTGTTAGCCTCTGAGAGGGGGAGTGGATAGCAAGGTGGACGATTTCTGGGCTGGTGGCCCCTCCATGCTGTGTTGACACAGGCTGGTTTTACTGTGAGGGGGCAGCAAGCACAAGTGGGGTGGCCATGCTGTATGGGGTGGTCATTTAGGAAGAACTGGTGACAGAGAGAGCATGAAGGGAAAGGCAAAATACAGTCAACCTCATGTTACGCCTGCTTCATGTTACGTTCTTTCAGGTTATGTCCCGCGGCGACACGGAAGTACCGGAAAGGGTTACTTCCGGGTTTCGCCACTCACGCATGCGCAGAAGCGCAAAATGACATCACGCACATGCACAGAAGCGGCGAATCACAACCCGTGCATGCGCAGATGTGCCACTGTGGGTTGCGCTGTTTTCATGTTGCAAATGGGCCTCTGGAACGGATTCCATTCGCAACCAGAGGTACCACTGTAGCAGGAGAGGTTGACCACATGGGCTGCCGGTGGAGAGGAGTGGGCAGAAAGGGCTGTTTGTGCCTCTGGATTGCTAAACAGTGCCCACATGACTTGATTGTGACTGAGTAGTAGGCGTTCCCTTTTTGCCTTTTGGAGTGGCTGTGATTGCTGGGCGCGCTGGCAGTCCTGCTGCGGACATTGGGGATGCTTCTGTTGAGATCAGGGTGTTCCTTTCATCCTGTTCAGGATGAGTGCAGGATAGACGTGCCGCAGGAGTTGTGGCTGCATCTCCCTCCCCCGGCACGTTGGAGTACAGGACAGCTCTCCCAAGTCCCCCCGCATAAATGAATACAAATAAACTGTTCCAAAGTTTGATTTTATCTGGGTGTTATTTATTTACAGAAATTTCAAGTGCTTCTTACGAAGTCTCTGTTGGCAGGCGCCGTTCATCAGTGGAGAAAGCTTCAGAATAAAGAAGCAGGGATGCGGATTTTTTCCAACTCTCCCATCTTCTTGCACTGTGAGAGTTTTTGCCCAAATCTTTATGGAGCAGTAGCTCATTCTGCCCACAGATCCATTGATTAAAGTGAGAATAATGCTAATGAGGGACACGGAGAAATATATCCTTTCAGTTATTTACAGTTTTCATATCAGTTAAATATGCATATATAAGACTAGGGAGGCTGATGTATTAATGGAAGTCAAGAGTTTTAACAGATCTGAAACCTAAGCTTCTCTGACATGGGTGGGGAACCTGTGGCATGCCGGCCAAATTAGACCCAGCACATGTTCCAGGTTGGGCCATTTTCCCCAAACCACACCCACCTACCATACACCTAAAATATCAAATTATAGAGTAGGGAGGTCCCACAAGGGTCATCTAGTCTAATCCCCTGCAGTGCACGAATCTTTCACCCATCTGGGATGAAGAGTCTCATGCTCCACCAACTGAGCCATCCAGCCTGATCAAATGATTGCTGTGATAACCCCTAGAAAACCCCTTCCATTGATTGCAGTCAGTGAAGCAGCAGGGACAGCAACAGGAATGCAGGTGGGGAAGAATTTAGGGCTAATTTGATTGAATGTGGACTGGAACTCATTTTAGAGCTGGCTCAGGAGCAGCAAAAGTAGTGACTCACTCTCTTGGCTACCATTGCACTGGCTTATTGTCATCTTTTTCTGGGTAGCTGAAGAACACAAAGTAAATCGGCTTCGTGCTGGAAGGAACGAGTACTTGGTGGCCTTCTGCAATATATTTGCGTGGCACTTTGCCTATAAAATTGTTCACATCTGGCTCCGATTTGGACGCCACAGCATACTGTATTGTATAACAGTCCCGGGAAGCGTCCATGGCTTCTCCCTTTTGCAGTTGTTTAGATGAGTTTCAGTTGCTGCAGGCTGGAGATAAATGGCCAGAGTTTGCACAGCTGTTTATCCTGTGACCTGTTCTTTAGAACGTTGGCCATCCAGGCTAATTTTAGTTTGCTGGGCTGAGTTTTATGGTAAATCCTTTAGGAAGCAGTTGGGGATATTAAAAGATACGCACATTTGGTGGTTGCTAGATCAGGGCTATCCCTTTATTGATGTCTTCCATAGGGAACTCCTTCCCAAGAGGAATGTGCCTGGCAAACTTGTTTGTAGGGAGTTTTTTAAATACAAAAAGGAGTAAAAGAGCTTTGTCTTCAGCAGAGGTTTTGTGGCCTGGACGAGGTGCTTATAGTTCTGTAAGTTTGTGTACGTTTGGCTGAAAACTTGTTAATTCTGTTGCAACTAAAAATGACAGTCAATTGCCTATTTTAATTAGGATTTCCTTGCATTAATTGAGCTATTTATTAATAAATAATAACAAAATTTTATTTATATCCCGCCCTCCCCAGCCAAAGCCGGGCTCAGAGGGGCTAACAACAGCAAAAGTAACACAGTTTACATAAAATCACAATCAGTTAATTGAAATACATTCTGAAATCAATTTATTCTGAAATCAATTCGGAATCAAATTAATGGCAACCATTGGGCTAGAGTTCTATGAGGATTACCAAAGGAGAGGGTCAGACTGTGGCTTGGCCAAAGGTGCTTCAAGAGCCCATTGAATGAATAAGAACAGAATGAACAAATGCATGTAGTTCTGCACAGGTATTAAAGACCGCAATCCTAAGTACACCTAACTTGGGGATACAGTGAGGCATGCTTCTAAGTAAGCATACATAGGATTGTGCTGTATGTGTCTTCAGCCTAATATTTCAGTGAGATTTAAGAAGATGAACGTTATATAAAGCCACCTTGAATCAAGTCACCCTTAATCGCAAGTACACATGGTTACGGCTCGGCTGAAAGGTTTCTAGGGCTGCCTTTTGGCAAATAAGCACTGTTTTGTCTGGATCTGGAATAGTTCAAGATTGACAGGAACCAAGCTGTGCTTAAGGACTGAGTGTGGTTTATCTAACCCTCCTGGCAAACAAAAACATTGCCTCATGCTTGGTCTCTTGCCACAGAGCACACACTAGGTGAAAATAATCACATAGAGTTGCTGGCAGCGGTTGGTCCACCTGGGGGCTGAAACAGCTTTTATGGCCCTTCCTGTTGCATATTTGGTGGCCAAGTATCAAAGTGATATTCTTAGGAAGTGCTCCTCCAGGTCTTTAAGCAGCGTTGTTTGAAGTGCTTAACACACAACTGCTGTCTGTTGATTAGGCTAGCAGCCAGTTTGTATCTTAGGAGATACTGCCTAATAAAGATGCTCTTCAAAGCCTCGTTTGTGTAACTTAATTCTTACCCAACCACTATTCCCCCCACTACTTTATGGTTTGTCTGCTCTACTTCCTCTCCCAATATACACCAGTGTAGGCTCTTGTTTATGGGATGCTATAAAAGGAGCACAAAACAATAACCAAATATTCCTGTTTATGTAATCTTGTTGAGTTTCTCCTCCAAGGCTGTTCTTTGCTAGCTATGTCAGCTCGCATTCCAAAGGAGACTAGCAGCCTGGTTTTAATCACGCTCATTCAGAAATCTCACCAAGGGCCAAACCACCTGTCCTTGTCTTTCTCTCTCCCCTCCCCATGCAGCACTAACAGGGATTATGAAGCGGGTGAGGGGAGCGGAAATCTGAAAATGAACACAGAACCAAAATATTAAATTCTCCTTCCGCTGTGGCTGATGGTTGCTCCTGTTTCTTTTGGCTCCCTCTTATTAATTGCATTTTTATTGTGTATTGTATTGTCTTTTTTTTTAATGTTTCAAGCTGCCTTGTGAAAAAGCAGGGTTGTATTTACAAAATAAGATGCTCACACCCTCCCCCAGAGCGCCCCTTCCATAGTCTTCATCCCACGGGGATGCTATTCAGAAGGAGAGCACCTAACCCAGTTCAGGTCTCCAATGTCCATTGGAGTACCTAGGGCTTGACCACCTCCAGGGGCACAGGCCCAGTGGGGCGCAGAAAACGTGCCTCTCCACTCTTCCTAGCCCACTCCTCTGCAGCTCTGGGTGGCTGGGTGAGGCGTGCAGGCTCCTTTGGGTGTCTCAGCGGAGGAATCCGGTTGCTGGCATTGGCTGTCACAGTAGCCCCACAGAGTCTTCTGAGAATTACCAACTCCCTCATGCTTCGGGTACTGGCTTGGAAACAAGACATAGATGTGCAGAGAATGGAGGTTATTCCATAGGACAGAGCTTTCTAAACTTTTCATGTTGGTGACATGCATCCCTTTGCGACATAGTAATTCAGTTTTACTTAGTGAACTAACCCCTTTCCATCCTCGGGAAGAGCACAGGGAACGTTCACGTGACACACCTACACACTTCAGCCAACACACTAACGTGTCGCAGCACACAGTTTGGAAAGCTCTGCCACAGGACTTACCTCTGTCCTACTTCTCAGGTGTTGAGTCAAAGCCAATTTAGAAAGCAGCTGAATGAACTCATATGTTCATTTTAGTTTATTCCCCGTGTTAATCCCAAAGACTTGTGGTAGGTAACAGAGAAAAGAAAACTGAAGATATATCCCTTCTTAATTTAGCTTCAGCCTAATTAAAATAGTCAAAAGTGTAACAGATGTTAGGACCTGCAGGTTTCTGCCTGGTTCTTTGCTTCCCAAACACCAGATGGAAGAAGAGGGCAACATCAATTTATCAAACAAACAAGCAAAAAAGTAGAAGGCCAGAAATAGTGCAAGCACAGCTCATTTATACATTTTTTTTTAAAAGTAAAGCTGATCTGTAAACAATATGATTTTTATACTGCTCTGCAATAATGCAATTATCACAGTGGTGAATGAAAAAAATACAATGAAGCTTGTTGGCATGCGCCTGCCTCAAGAGACAATGGATTGCGCCTCTATGCACTGAATTCACCGAAGTGACCTCCCCAGGGCGCAAGATCCATGCACCTCAGCCTCTCTGATGTGGTCCAAAGGGAAGCAGAACGATACATTTGGCACCAGCTTGGCTGCAGGAGTTGCCAGAAGGAGGCGTGCAAAGCGTTATCCAACCTTCTTAGGGACTCCTCCAGATTTGTGCAGGGCTTAGCCTTTTCTCCACCCGCCCCAGAAAAGTGAAACAAATAGTCTGCAACCTGAAATGCAGTACAGTGGTGCCTCGCAAGACGAAATTAATTCGTTCTGCGAGTTTTTTCGTCTTGCGAAGCACGGTTTCCCATAGGGTATTAACGGTTTTAAGAAAAAGGAAACAAACTTGCAAGACGTTTTCGTTTTTCGTCTTGCGAAGCAAGCCCATAGGGAAATTCGTCTTGCGAAGCAACTCAAAAAACGAAAAACTCTTTCGTCTTGCACGTTTTTCGTCTTGCGAGGTACCACTGTAGTTTGGCACCCAATTTCCCCCAATCGAAAGGGTTATCCTCTGTATCAAACCCGAGGGGGAAAGCATTGAGAGTGGTATTGCTCAGAGGGTAACATGTGGGCAGTGCAATTTAAATTGGAATGCAAAGTGCTGTAAACACACAATAAACTCAGGTGTGGACAAGTCTCAGTACTTCCTGCTTAACTCTTTGTTGTTTTGGTGACAAACTACAGTCATATCTCGGGTTGAAATTGCTTCAGGTTGAGCTTTTTCAGGTTGCGTTCTGCGGTGACCTGGAAGTAACGGAACGTGTTACTTCCGGGTTTCGCCGCTCGCACATGCGCAGACGGTCAAAATGACGTCATGAGCAGAAGCAGCGAATCGCGGGTTGCGTTTGCTTCAGGATGCGAATGGGGCTCCAGAACAGATCCCGTTCGTATCCAGAGGTACCACTGTACATGCTTTGTTAATCGTGCTTTCAAAAAAAGTGTGCTTAGCCTTTTCACTTTTATTTTGAAACCAAATCAGACCAGGGGGCCTAATCCAGGCATAGGCAAACTCGGCCCTCCAGATGTTTTGGGACTACAACTCCCACCATCCCTAGCTAACAGGACCAGTGGCCAGGGATGATGGGAATTGTAGTCCCAAAACAGCTGGAGGGCCAGGTTTGGCCACCACTGTGTTAGAAGTACTGCTAGTCTGTGGCAAGTGCATGTTAAATTTCAAAGTTGTTACTGTGTTTTGTAGTTGTTGAGGGGAGCCCTTAGTATTTTTGTGTGTGTGGGTGAAGTGGGTTAGTTTTGGTGAAGTGGGTTAGTTTTGTTTCTTATGAGATATGCAGAGTGGCATTGGCTGCTTGTGCTACATCTTTTGTGGACGGCGGAGTTGGGAGCTGTGGCTATTTGTTGTGGTGTTTTGTAACTGCTGCATTTCGGCTTCATATAGATAGCCAAACAGATAGGCTTCTGATCGATGTATTGTCACGTGTGGTGGGAACTGATTTCACAGTGTCTTAAAAGTCAGCAAATGCGTTTTACCTGCCGGTACGAAAGAGGGTGATTACTCACCCCCTGGTTAAGTTCATTTTCAGTTGTTCTCAGTTTTGCCACACCTCAGTCAAGCTAGCTATACCAGAAATCATTGGGGGGGAGGGGCATAAATTAAACCCATAACTGTTCTTGAAACCTAATTTTAGCAACCTTTTCTGATCTTCCCTGGCTTAGCACCAAAGCTTGCCTTGCAAAAATAAATGAGGCAGTGGAGAGCTTGCGCGCTGCCCTGCAAAGTCCTCTGAGGGTGAATTCCAGGGAATCCCCCTCCAGCCCACTCAGCCCTGACACAAGAAACATGGAGTGCCAAGAAAGGCGGCTTTGTTGAGGCTGACAAAGGCAGCTTTGTGGGTGGAACAGCTTTGTCTTTATCTTCTCTCTCCCATTATCTCTCCAGATCATCCTCTCTCTGCCCCTGTCTGCCACCCTCTGGTTTTCCTCTCCAGCACTCCCAGTATCTGTACCCTCCCTCTGTTCCAAGTCAGTTCCTTACAGCTTCTCTCCCATCCATCCCACTTCCCTTTATCTTTTACAACCCATCTTCTTCTGTTTTGGGAGAAATGGCAAGCCTGGTGGAGTGTTGGTTGCTTTGTGCTTCACGGAAAGCTGCACTGTTTGCAGCTGTGTGGGCGTTTGTCGGGTTTCACTTTATGCGGTATTCCTTGTATTCTGTAATTTCTGCCTTTTGGTGCATTGTTGCACCGTGAATTGACTTTTCCTTGCTAGAATCAAAGAATCATAGAGTCATGGAATTGTAGAGATGGAAGGGACCCCCAAGGGTCAAATAGTCCAACCCCCAGCATTGCAGGAATCTCAGCTAAAGCATTCATGACATATGGCCATCCAATTTCTGCTGAAAAACTTCCAAGGAAGGAGAGTCCACAACCTCCCAAGGGAGTTCGTTCAACTGTCAAACAGCTCTTACCATTATAAAGTTCTTCCTGATGTTTACTTGGAATCTTCTTTCTTGTAACTTGAAGCCATTGGTTCGAGCTCTACCCTCCAGAGCAGGAGAAAACAAGTTTGTTCCCCCTTCTATGTGACAACCCTTGAGATATTTGAAGATGGCTGTCATATTTCCTCTCAGTCTCCTTTTTTCCAGGCTAAACATACCCAGTTCCCTCAACCGTTCCTCATAAGGCTTGGTTTCTAGACCCCTGCTCATCTTGGATGCCCTGCTCTGCGTACATTCCAGCTTGTCAATATCCTTCTTAAGTTGTGGTGCCAGAATTGGACACAGTATTCCATGTGTGGTCCGACCAAGGCAGAATAGAGTGGTACTGTGACTTCCTTTGATCTACACACTAAACTTCAGTTGGTACAGCCTAGAATAGCATTGGCTTTCCCCCCTGCTGCGTCACACTGTGGACCAGTGTGGTGTAGTGGTTAGAGCAGTGGACTCGTAATCTGGTGAACCGGGTTCGATTAGCTGCTTTGAGACTCCTTAGGGTAATGATAAAGCAGGATATCAAATCCAAACTCCTCTTCTTCTTCGTGTTAAGCTTGTGGTCCACCAGGCTTATCACCTGTTGACTCCCAAAGCTAGATCCTTTTCACATGTACTGCTGGTAAGAGTCCCGGTGTTTTCTCCATTAGCTGTTTAAAGGGAAGCAAAGCTCTACAACTCCCAGCCCTGGCAAGCCTTCAGGGCTGAAGTTGACTCTGTGCCACCAGACCCAAAGAACCTGCGGCCAGGAAGACGAAAAGCCCCCTTTCCACCTTCTAGTACTTCAGGAGCAGAAGGAAGCACATTTCCACTCTGGGAAGATGCCAGGGGTAGTTTCTCTGTGATGCACATAGTTATTTTATTCCAGACCGGACCAAACTAAACACTATGTTAAGTCCCTTAAAAATTAAAAAAAGCAAATAGCATCACTGGGCATGGGAGCGCAGGTAATTTTCAGAATCACAGCAGGTGGAAAGGGGGAAGTTATTATTTATTACATTTTATTACCAACCTTATACTCTAAGGTCCTAGGATGAGTGGCAACAATGAAAACACAGCAGTACACAAAAACGTTTTAAAGTAACTTAAAATTACAGGAAAAAGGTGGGTCCTAAAAATTAACGTAAATGATTTAACCCTTTCTTCCCTGATGCAGCCTATTGAGATCAGTGCGGGTTTTTCTTTCCCAGGACTCAAAACAAAAAGTAGTATTTTCCAGGAGTTCATTGTGCTGGGATGCCACTTTTGATTATTCAAGGCTATGCATAGCGTTAGTGTCCGTGCTTAAGGGCTACATTGGTGGCACGAAAACACTCTTAACATCGTAACATCAAGGTAATGAACAGCTGGAGTTTTCTACCTGCTTCAATTGTAGCACGCAGGGGTGAGCTATATCAAAGTTTTCATTTTCTCTGTACAGCTTGATTTAATGATGCAATTACGAGTAAGCATAGGAGAAGTAGGCAAAAAGCAGTGCCATAAGAAAGGGGAAAGAGCACAATCCATGCAAGCAGCCAATTATGCACTTTAATAATTCAGCGGGTTTTGCACTAATTGGCTGGAAAGTAAATACTATTTGCATAAGTGTAGTGTGCCATTATTTATCCACTGCGAGAAATTGAGCTTTAATTAAGACAAAAGCCCGTGGACTTTTCAGCAATTAATGAAATATATTGCGTTCTTGAACCAGTCAGGTACCAAACGCTTGTGTCCCTTAAGGCGCGAGAAGATTTATGTTGCAATACAGAGCAGCAGCTATTGCATGCAGACTTCATTTTAGTTTCGTTGGGGGCGGGTGGGAGAAGGGGGGATCCATTCCGCTTACAAATGAAGTACCCTAGTTGCTGGACTGTTTATATCCTTGCACCAAGGGAGCCATGATTCTGTGTTGAGAATAAATTGTACAGATGGATGAGGTTGTTCTGCATAACATAGTTCCAAAGAGCATGATCGCTCTTTGCATTTCCACGTAATTTTGAACTTTGGAGAAAATGGTGGCGTGTAGCAGGAGGAAGCCTTTGTAAGTAGCACAGAGGTAACAGAGAGGATATGAGGGAGGGGGAAAAGTGTGATAGAAAGCCATGGAAGAAGTAGCTATGCCGGGCATATTAGAAACCTTTCTTCTGAACACTGAGGCCTTCGGTTTACATTCACTTTGTTTTAGGGATAGTTTCTTAAGAGTTCCCACATTCTCTTTTTGTACAATGCATCTGTTCTTTCTTCCCCTCTTGCCCACTTACAGGTTGCCCCCATTACAGGAATGGTTTTATCTCAGCTGCTCAGTCATTTGTCACATCTTGTTATTCATGAGTAAACGATGGGTAGCTAATCTGTGGAGTGAACAAGTAGTAATTTTGAGAGCTGAGTTGTTGGCAGAGTGAGGTTTGGAGTGAACAAATGACTACTCTTGAGGCATAGGGAATCAAATAAGTAGGACACAAGTCAGAAAGGTTTCAGTGGGGGGAAGCATGGACCAATGATACCAAATAGTATGGGAAACAGTCATGTTAGAAAAACTAACCAATAAACTGAAACTGACAAGGGGACAAATAGAAGAAGATGCCTTCACCCCAGTATGGCTCCCCTTTATCACATACACAGCCCAACAAGACAATGACAAGAATCCGCCAACAGCATACGAATCAATATGGCTAACCTGATTCAAAAACACCCACCCACCCCACTCACACATGAAAACAAAGTACACCACAGCCAATCACAAACAAACAACCACACCCTAGGCCAGGGGTCAGCAAACTTTTTCAGCAGGGGGCCCGGTCCACTGTCCCTCTGACCTTGTGGGGGGCCAGACTGTATTGGGGGGTGGATAATGCAAGAGCACCACGAGCCCCGGTGGCTGATTACCTGTGTCTTGCGAGCGGCAGGGGCTGGCAGCGGTGAAGGGACGATGAGTGGTGCGAAAGGGCTGGCTCCGGAGAGGGGCTGCTTAAAATTGCACTCAGCCAACCGCAGCTCAACAAAGCCCAGCCCCCTTCCTCCTCTAGGCAGGGCGGGGAGAAGCCAGGAGGAGGGAGGGAGGAGGCGCCGCCGCCGTGTGAGGGAGAGGGAAAGAACATGTGCGCTGGCGATCCACATGGCGATTCCCAGACCACCCGTGGGCCAGATCCACATGGCGATTCCCAGACTATCCGCGGGCCGGATCCAGAAGGCAATTGGGCTTGATCTGGCCCGCGCGCGGGCCTTAGTTTGCCAACCCATGCCCTAGGCCAACCCCAGCCTCTCTCACCACCAAAGGAACACAAGCAAATAGTAAAGAGAATCTGCACAATCGACGCTGACACAAAACCCCACACATACAATAAGTAAAATAGAAACATTGCCACCCGACCCCACCCACTTTTGTAAACCAAGAAATCTTTAATAAAAAAAATGTGGTTTTTTTTTAAAAAAAGAAAGGTTCCAGTGTTTTTGTGTTACGTCTTCCTCTCATGGTTGCAGGAGTCACTCAGCAAAGAGCTCCGGAAATTCACTCCAAAATCTCCTGGAAACTTGTGCCTGCATGTTTGCAAGCGTATCTCTGCAATCAGAAAGGGCTGCTGACCAGATGTGAGAGTCCATTCAACATTTGGCACTGGCGATGCTTCCTGTAACATTTGAAGCCACCCAGACTCTTACTTGACAGCCAGAGTTACATTTCTGAATTTGCTATTTGAACCTGAAACTAAAACCAAGCTTGTACATAAGGAAACAGTTGTGATGATGGAAGATAATAAAGGAAAGATTTTAGCACCTTAAAACTGATTAGGTAACATGATTAAAATTACCCTGGCAAGCTCTTCGAATCCAGTCTAAGATCACAGCTCCCTTGGAAAGTGGTGGACACCCCTTCCTTGGAAGTTTTTTAGCAGAGGTTGGATGGCCCTCTGTCATGGATACTTCAGTTGAGATTCCTGCATTGCAGGGGTTGAAATGGATGACCCTCTGGGTCCCTTCCAACTCTACAGTTCTCTGATTCTTTTTATATTTGCAGTATTGTGCTTATTTAATATAAAACCTCCAAAGATGATTATTTTTGTCTGACTCAAGTGCATTTTTTTAAATGTATATATGTTTAGGAGACCAAAGGACCAGAAGCATTCTGCAGCCCCGCTCTCATCTCCACAGTGGATGCATCTTGCGGTTGTAGCATGTGGCGACCGGCTGGAAGAAACTCTGGTCATGCTGAAATCAGCAGTTCTCTTTAGCTACAGGAAACTCAAATTTCACATCTTTGCTGAGGATTCCCTGAAACCTGAATTTGAGAGGAAAGTGAGTCCCCTGCACTATTTTCTTTCTTTCTTTCTTTCTTTCTTTCTTTCTTTCTTTCTTTCTTTCTTTTTAAAGAAACGCCAACCAAATCTAGATCTTTGATTATAAGCTTGCAGATTCACTTGGAAATGCTCTGACAGCCACAAGTTAATGAGCAGATAAACTCTTTTCTAGTCGTAAGCCCTCAATAAACCTCTGCCTGAGTAAGAGCTTTGTTTTAATTTGTTTGACTTCGTAGAGCAATAGCATTTCCCACAAAACAGCCTCTCAGGAATTCTAATCCCCCTCACTTTCCTCCTTGTGCTTTTCAGCTACAGGAATGGCCCCCTTCGTACACAAAGAAGTTTGAATATAATGTCTACCCAATCGCCTTTTCAGTGGGAAATGCTCAGGAATGGAAAAAATTATTCAAGCCATGCGCTGCCCAGCGGCTCTTTCTCCCGGTAAGGCACTTGGGCGAAGGCCACAACCCTAGCCCCACTTACCTAGGAGTAAGCCACGTCAAATTCAGTGGGACATTCTTCTGAGTAGATGTGCTGAGGACTGCAGCCTGAGGTAGCTGAACCCAAGAAACTGCATTGGCCTTAGAAATGTTGAGACCTCCCTCGTGCCCAAATTGAAATGGTCTGTTTGCTTGCGGACCTGTCAAACAGCCGTCTTACGCCGTCTTTCCGAAAGCCCAGCAAGGTGCCAGTCTCAGTGATGTTTTGTTTCGTTTTATGTTGGGGAGCACTTAAAAAGCCCCCCTTCTTAAGGCCCTGGCAGGTGAGGGTTTTGCTCCACAGGAGTGACCGGTGCTTCCTTCCCAATTAATGCTCATTTGTGTTCAGTGTTCAGGTTTTTAACATCATGGCCCTAACACTCACCTGCTATTTACTGGTGCATGCAGAGAAGCAGACAGCTGGCAAGATTGAGGTGCTTTCAGCTGTAGCAGAGTTGGGTCGCAGAGGCTGACAAGCAAGCTGGCAGTAGCCAAAAGACCACCTCCTTCCCATAAGACCCCCTCGGGTGCTAAGGTCGACAGAATGGAGCACTCTTGGTTCCATTCACCCTCAGAAGCACCTCATTACTCTAGCATTTGACACACAAGAAGTATACGGTACAATCACATCTTACACTTGCAAGGGTTCCATATATGCACAAACTCAAAAAAACCCAGGGGATTCTGGAGCTGGTTTCAGGTCCCTGGGGATGCTCTTGCAAGATCTCACAGAACCATCTGAGATCTCGTGGGAGCATCCCAAACTTGGCATGCTGAGAGGGCCTTTCTTGCCAAGCAAGGTGGAGAGCCTAAAAGCTCCTTTTTTCCTACACTGAGTTTTTCTGGAGCAAAAAGAGCTTTTAATCTCTCCGCCTTGCTTGCATTTAATTTGCAGTTTTTTTCAGTCAGCACCCCTCAACCGCTGTTGAAATTGTGCGAGTAAAATGTGCATAAGGCATTTTTGGGAGCCACCCTGTTTTTTTTGTGATTGAATTTTTAATTGCAAGTTTCGAAACTGCATTATAAATTGTGGAAACCTGCCCTGGTCCCTTAGGGCGAAATAGTTGTAACAATAGCTAGTCTGTAACGGTGCTCGTCTGATGTAAAGATCTGGGACCACACATCACAGGAGCCGGAGCCAAGACTTAAGGCTAAGTGGCAGGGCCTAGGCCAGAGAGCACGTAACCCGGGCTGTTCTTTCCTCCAGCACTGATCTAAAACCTACTGTGATCTGAAACACTCTGTTGTTGAACAGAGCGCTGCTGTGCTTCTGAGGCCATGCACTCCAGCAAGATTGGCGTGACCCCTGCAGTCTCTGGGATTGATGCGCGGCGAATATTTGACACCTAGAAAAATGTTGTACAGTGTGCTCGGAGTATGTATTTGGAAGCTTCCAGTTGGAGCAGAGGTTTCTGTCTTCTTCCTCTCTTTAATTCAGCTGAGATGGCTTCTTAGCCCCATGTGCACACATCAAGGCAAAACAAAAAGATGAGTAAAGGCGAAACAGCATTCTTTTAATCTGGCCAGTTCTGTTGTTGCTGCTTGCTACACTTATGTGGACTTGCCTTGCCCAGCTTTGGTCTTCTGCGGGCCTTCTTTAAAAAAGGAGGGGTATGGAAAACAGATGCTCCACCACTGAGCTACAACTCTTCCCCACAACCTTAAGTTTAACCTAAAACTATTGGATAAAGGTGCCGACTCTGGGGTTGCAATGCTCATCTTGCTTTATTGGCCAAGGGAGCCAGGGTACAGCTTCCGGGTCATGTGGCCAGCATGACTAAGCCGCATCTGGCAAACCAGAGCAGTGCACGGAAACGGCGTTTACCTTCCCGCCAGAGCAGTACCTATTTATCTACTTGCACTTTGACGTGCTTTCGAACTGCTAGGTTGGCAGCAGCAGGGACCGAGCAACAGGAGCTCACTCCGTCACGGGAATTCGAACCCCCAACCTTCTGATCGGCAAGTCCTAGGCTCTGTGCTTTAACCCACAGCGCCACCCGCGTCCCTTTTAAAAACTATTGTGACAAACCTGCAAATTCTGTACCTTGCTAGCAGGCAGATGCTCCAACTTCTCATTAGGCATAGCAAGCACGCAGCAGCAGCAGCAGCAGCAGCAGTTTTACATATGATGCCTGCCCAAGCATACAGAGAACATCATGAAGTTATTAACTAACTTCCTCACTGCAAAACCTGGAACTGGAGCCTTATCAACAAACACCCACCTGGGATGAATTGTGGACAGCGCTGGTCGTTCCCAGGATATATCTCAAGAGAACAAGCTGGCTCATATGTACTATAGAGAGCGAAAAGGTCCCAGAACGTTGGCATTCCGCAACCAGAGATGTTTTCTTCGAAGAACCGCGGCATCAAATTACAGTTTCAGCCCATGTCCTTGCTTCTTGCTGCTTGTTTCAAGGAACGGTTCCTTCGTTTTGAAATAATAGTTTTAGTTGCCAGTCAATAAAAAGCACAGTTTGTTTCTCTCCCCTCCTCCATCCCTCCAGTATACTGTAATAAGTACTATGTGTTTTCTGACAGACATAATATGTTATTTTCTCACAACATAGCCCTTATTTTGGAGCTCTTTGAGTGGCAACCCTATCACCAGCCCATAGCTATCATATGTAAAGATGGGAGTGAATTTTGGTCATGCCTGCCTTTTAAGCAACAAATAGTTCTCTGTCACAGATTGGTTGCCAGTGCATGGACTTAAAGGGGGGGGGGTGTCCTCTGCTTATAGCAGCTTTGTGACAGGGGAAGTATGCTGTCTTCTGTCCCTGCAGCACTGCAACAGGGAAAGTCACAACTACTAACCCTCTCCCATCATAAATCTGCTAAAGGCATATAAGAGCTTACCCTCTGACCAGGAGCCAGGAACCAGTGCCATGGGGTTGTTTTAATTTTAGCAAAACCTAATGATCTCAGAGTTCTTAGCTCTTGCTTGGCCAAATCTTTGATTAACTGGATCTCATCCAAGGAAGAGTTTGGCCATTCTAGGAGGGGTTTGCCTTAATAAACCCATGCTCAAACACCTGTCCCTAAATTGCCTAGCCTTAAAGTTCATCCAACGATATTTGACTAGTCTCAAATGTTGGTGCGTTTAAAACGGGGCGGGGAATGGTGATACTGGAGAGGCCACAATAAATGGCAGTCGTGACTTTGCTAGAAGTTTTCTAGATTCTGCTGCAACAATACGTATGTGTTGGAGAAACTGGGAAAGAATCTGTGCAAAATAATGAGGGTGTGGGGAAAGCTGTGAAAGAAGCGCAATTTGTGTTCAGAATTGTGCCGCAGAAGTGACACCATTGTCATAAGTGGAGTAAAGCACATTGTCTTAATTGCAGCTTTTCTGTAGAAGTGTCTCCTGTACAGAACACTAACTTACTCTACCAGTTGTGGAGCATGTGCCGCAGATCAAAAACAAAGCCAAAGATAAAGCAAAGTTTTTTTAAAAAACCAAAAATGCCTCTCCATATCCATTAAATAGGCTGGAATATTTTCTCCAGAATGGGTTGTCTAAATTATTTATTGATGCATTCCAATAGTCTGTATCAGGGATGTCCAACCAGTAGATCGCGATCTACCGGTAGATCCCTGGCAGAACCTGGTAGATCTCTGGATCCTTATCGTGTACAAAAAGTTATGGGGAAAAGCTTAAAAACACTGTGCAGTCTTCCCCCCAAAAAACTCAATAACCCTGGGCAATCCACCTACCCTATGCACACGCCTCCTCCCTCCAATGACAATGGGTAGGCCACTGCCAGTTTTTTTATACTGGGAGTAGATTGCAGTCTCTTGGGAGTTGGACATGCCTGGTCTGTAACTTCCAATAAAACAGATATTAATTTTATTTAAGAGCCAAAGTACTGATTACTTATTTTTGTTTATTCCCACCCTTTTCTCCCTGCCCTGCCCCCACTTTCATGCTTGGAAGCTTTGGGCAATAATATCTTGAGCACCTAATTGCAGAAGTGGAAAATGCACTTATTAAATTTGAAATTCAAATACTGAGACCTCAAGGGTAATCTAATGACAATCAAGGCTTTTCCTCTGCTGAATATGTCCCATGAGTGTCTTTTTAGCAAAGTAAATGTGGCCACACACTTTGAGGCATGCTATTTTTATGCCAATTTAAAAGCGCACGGGTTTGTTATGTGTCGCATTCTCTTCTTCCAAGGTGATGTACATGGTACATCCACTCTCCCTGTTGCAGGTCTAGGGAAGAGTGGGAGACTTCCCCAATACCGCCATGTGCACTGCATAGAGTGGGAATTTCAACCACGGTTTCTTCCCACACCTGAGCCATTCTGCTGGCCATCGAATAAAAGAGTTTTGTGGGAAAGAAGGCAAACAAAGGGAGGGATTTTCTGCATCATTAGGAGAGAAGGAAAGTAAAATGGGAAAGAGACACTCCGCTGCTTTTGAAGAAATATTGAAACCTCCCCACACAAGTTTTTTTTTAATAATGTAATTACTGAAATTATGAATGGATACGTACAGAACCAAGTGTCCACAAGAGGGCACACTGTGAACAAGAATCAACAGCCTGATTGTTATTATCCCTTTCGAGATATCCAGGTAACTCGTGCATCAATCTTATCTCATTTCCAGCACTTCGAACGTTACTTTGAAAAGCCACTGGCCACTGCCAGTCAGAGTAGACAGAGCTGCGTAGATGGACCAGAGTTCTGAATATGTTCAAATAATTATTTTATTTTTATTTTTATTTTTTTGCTAATTCTACATTCAGACCACACAGTGCATTCTGGCCATTTAGCAAGGTTCTTTTTTTGGAGTAATTCATGTGATCAGGCAGGCGGTGGCAATTATCAGAAGGCAGCCTGAAAACATGAAAATCTTTATCACAAATGTGCCTCTTCACAGGGTGGTCTTTCCCTTGCCTGAAATGAGGACCACCATTTAAAAACCCACTGTGCAGCCAAGCTGTTACCTGGTTATATGAGTTGGCCCCATCGTCTGTCAGTACAAACTTAAACTAGTCTTGTCCTTTTAGCAAATTTTTAAAAACGTGTTTTGTTGTTTATATTGATTTTGTTGCTATGAAGCTTCATGATGTGAGATTTACTTTTATTATTTCTTGTTAGTTATTTTTAAAACCAAACTATAAGAAATGCTTCAAATGAAAATCAAGAAACGTTCCCTGTGGCAAACCCCTCATTCCACCATCTTCTCATGCTCCCTAATTCTCTTGAGCACCAGAACATAGTAGTTGGCTCACTACATCCAGTTGACCCTGAGGAGCTTATTAATATTGAATGTCTCTATACCGAGCAGGAATTTGGATCAAAATGGTATGTTCTTTTGTGTCTTGCATGTATACACAGAGTGAATGAGTTCTTGGCCTGTAATCTGTCTTCTGGCCTTTCTGACTTTGATGCCTGTTTGTTTTTCCCTACACCCATTACCTTCCAACCCCAAAGACGATTTTAAAAGACGTAGATTCCCTTCTGTATGTGGACACAGATGTCCTATTTTTGCGACCCATTGATGACATCTGGGGCTTCCTGAGAGCATTCAATTCCACGCAGCTGGCCGCCATGGCTCCAGAACACGAAATACCAAAGATTGGCTGGTACAGTCGGTTTGCTCGCCACCCATATTACGGAGTGACTGGGGTAAATTCTGGAGTCATGCTGATGAATTTAACCCGTATTAGGAATGCCCAGTTCAAGGTAAGAATGGCTTTTGATTTGTTTGTTTTGTTTCAGAAACACTTTTCTCTCCCATGTCAACTGGGGATTGTGTTATGTACTGAAGTTCTCACCCTGGGTCAGCAGGGGGATACTGTAGATTGTTATGCAAATAAGGGATCGAAAGTGACGTTCAGTGATTGGATAGTTTTAGAAAATTGTTACTGTTATGTTGTACCGGAGCTCTATATAAGGCTGACTGAACCCTTCAGTTCAGTTCTGTTCTGGCCTGTGAATAAACAAGAGCTGTTTGAAGAATCGCTGTGTCGTCTGATATGTTCACCCACTACTTAACAGATTGGTTTCCACTCCTGCGTGTATAAAACTTCCTCACAGTTTTATACAAATAATTTCCCACTGACTGAAAAACTGGCTTGGACTGTTGTTTTCCGAGGAATGTGCTTTGACTGACAGAATCAGTCCACTGGCTTCTCAAATTGGCCCAGAGTAGCATACCCAAATGATAGTTAACTTGAGAGGCTTGTCACTGTAGGTCTTCAAATGCTGTCACACTGAGGACATCACTGGTGCGCCTTTGTCACTACTGCTGGTGCATTTCACATCTTCCTTCCCGCTGGATTAAGAACGGGCACTATCCAATTAAATTGTTGCATGCGTGGTGATTTCTGAGCGTGCCACCGAACTTCCCCTCCCTCTGCTCCCTTCTGCACCTCTCCCTCCAAATCTAATCTAGGGTTCCCCAAACCTCTGGGGCAGCTTGGGGCATGGTGCAGTGGGAGAGGGAGGAAGTCACGGTCTTTGAAGTCGTTCCATGTGTGCAATGACTTAGTTGCATACAACTCTGCATATTCTTCAGGCAATGTTCCTACCATCATCTCAGAGGACTTCAGGTTTCATCCATGGATGCAAACCGTCCCCCAAAAGATTGCAGAACCCTCAGATGTGACCTTAGTACTGGGGATCATAGGAACCTGCCTTATACCAGGTCAAGCTGTTTGTCCATCAGGATCAACCAGGGAACATACTCCTTTGGAAAAGTGGTGGACTCTTCTTCCTTGGAGGTTTTAAAGCAGAGGTTGGGTGGCCATCTGTCATAGCAGCTTTAGCTGAGATTCCTGCATTTAGGGAGGCTTTTAATGTTTTGTTTATTGTGGTATTTTAATATTTTGATGGAAGCCGCCCAGAGTGGCTGGGTAAGCCCAGCCAGATGGGCGGGGTATAAATAAATAAATTATTCTTATTCTTATTCTTATTATTGACTAGATGACCCTCCCAACTTTACACTTCTAAATCCAGTATTTGCTCAGACTGGCAGTGACCTTTCATAACACCCCCTATTCAGTTCTTTCAACTGGAGATGCGAGATTAAATCTAGCCCTTTGTGAAAAGTACATGTTTTGCCACTGAGCTATGGCATCTTCCTGTAAAATGATTAAAGCTACAGTAAAATAGCAGAGCTGCTCTGGAGGCTTTTTCCAGGACCCAGTAGGGACCACCTGCTGAGTCTCTCTGGCTTTGAGCCAACTTTCTTCTCTATGAAATGGTAAATGCAAATGTTGACATAATAAGAGTAAGCAAGTGTATTGTGTTCAAGCTCTGTTGCTTCATGTTTTCTTTAATTGCATGCATGCAAATCATGATACCACTTGGGGCACAGAAAAAGGAGGTTCGAATCCACGCTTCTGAGCGCTTTTGGATTTGATGGCCTTTCAGGGTCAGCCAAATGAATGGTCAGTTGAGGATATGGAATCACATTATCTGAAGGGAGAGCTTGCATGCTGGCAGTCTACACGGTTCCCCTTCGCTGGCTCCCTGTTCCAGCATGAAGGGCAATTCTTCCTTTCTGTGCTGTTTGGTTCCAGGAACAGTGAGAAAGGTTGCTGCTCAGCGCTGCTACGCCTTCCTCCTGCTGTGATTTCTGCTGGTTTCTACTTTTCTTTCTTTATCGTTTATTCCTGCCTTTCAGAACAGCATGATACCGACAGGCTTGACATGGGAGGAGATGTTGTACCCTTTATACCAAAAGTACAAAAACTACATAACATGGGGAGACCAGGACTTGCTCAACATCATTTTTTACTTTAATCCAGGTACACGGTGCACAGACTCTATATTATAGACATGTAGATTATTATTATTATTATTATTATGTCTTGTTGGAATATGTGACAGGGTGGTGTGTATAGACTCTGCCTCATTGGCCTGTGCTGCCAATCCTGTGGATGAGAACAGATTGTGATTGTTTTATTGATGGAAAGTGATAGACAATCACTTGCATTAAATAATTAAATAAATAAATAAATAAAATAAATAAATAAATCCCCCTCACCCACTTCATGCATTCTCTGCATGGTAGCTATAACCATGCTGTGAGCTGTTAGCTGTTGCATGGCTCAAGCCCAAAGGCAAAATATTGCCATGGTACTATAGAGAAAGGAAGGGCCCTGGAGTGACCATCTTGCTGTGTGAGTAGGGCCAGGAAGTGATCTACCCCCTTTTTGGGGGGTCAGGTCAAAATTATTGAGCTTTTTTCAGGAAGGCCCATTTTTTAGGGGTTCAGGTCAAAGTTGTAGGGCTTTTTTTAGGGGGGAGGAAAGCCCCGTCTTTTGGGGGTGCAGGGCAAAAATGTTGAGCTTTTTTTAGGGGAGCCAAACTTCTTGAGCTGCTTTGGGGGAGCCAGTGATCTACCAGAGACATCCAGTGATCACGACCTACCTGTTGGACGTGCCTGGAATAGCAGACACATGATTCGTTTCCAGATTGTGTAGCTTTCCTTATTTCAGAATTTCTGGTAACATTTTGAAGGTTTTGTGTTTTTTGCCAATTTCTAAATGTTGATTAGTAATTGTTGTAATTCCCCCCCCCCTTTCTTTGCTCAAATTGGGCTTTCTAGAGTGTCTCTATCTGTTTCCTTGCCAATGGAACTATCGACCAGATCATTGTATGTATGGCAGTAACTGTAAAGGAGCAGAGGAAGAAGGCGTTTCTATTCTACATGGGAACAGAGGTGTCTACCACGATGACAAACAGCCTACCTTCAAAGCACTCTATGAAGTGATACGTGATGTAAGTGTTGCCCCGCCCAGGGAGACAGTCAGTCTCATGCCATGTTCTCACATGTGATACGGTGCATCTAGTTGTAATACCGTATTTTTTGCTCTATAAGACTCACTTTTTCCCTCCTAAAAAGTAAGGGGAAATGTGTGTGCGTCTTATGGAGCGAATGCAGGCTGCGCAGCTATCCCAGAAGCCAGAACAGCAAGAGGGATTGCTGCTTTCATTGCGCAGCGATCCCTCTTGCTGTTCTGGCTTCTGAGATTCAGAATTATTTTTTTTCTTGTTTTCCTCCTCCAAAACCTAGGTGCGTCTTGTGGTCTGGTGCGTCTTATAGAGCGAAAAATACGGTACCTTATGCCTTGCATTTCTGTTTTCCTGCAAAGAGCTCAAAGCAGCATAAATGGTTTCTTCCCCCACTATTTTAGCCTCACAACACAACCCTGTGTGATGGGCCTGTTTTCACAGCAGGCAGTTTGTTGTGGAATAGCAACACTTATATATATATGTACTTCGTTAAACATCATTAACAAAGCATCTTCTTTGTGTTTCCCCCCTGCTCACCACCTTACCCCCACCAGTAGTTCGAAAAACCCCTTATTTATCTAAGTGGAATAGTTGTGTAACTTCCCCAAATGTAGATCATGTTTCTGTTCCACCTAGGTTATGGCCTGTATAGATTGCTCATTCATTTTTTCTAAATTTCCTTCTAGCCATTTCATTCACCATGCTCCACAATCTCCTCTCTAGGAACCAACTCTGTCGCTTTAACTCCTCACTTTCCAAACAAAATTGCCTTTATTGCCTTTTCTTTTCTACCCCCCACCTTCCCCAGTAAGAGAGGGGAATCGTGATCTGAAGCTCATTGAGTGGGAAACTGAGTATTTAAACCTATTCCCACACACAATGGAGCCAGTACAGATAGTCCCATGTTCTAGCTGCAGTGCAGCCTAGTAAGCCTCACCAGCCTCAACACACAGGCCTAGATCCAAAAAAGTCCAAACTCAGTTCAGAATCTGCAGTAGCTTGAGATGGCACCACACCAACTTAGACAGATTGTCCAAATTGTTGAGTACTGTGGTAGTAAAGTGGGAAGGATGAGAGCTATTGGTGACCTTTTTTTGGGAGGGGGAAGATATTCAGGTTAAGATCTTTGTGACAGAGTGAAACTCTCTCTCTCTCTCTCTCTCTCTCTCTCTCTCTGTATAAAATTCAATCTCTGGCATTTCACAATCTTGGGATAGGCTCTTCCCTAAGATCCTGTACACTATTGGTCAGAATTGATAGAACTGATAAATAGACAGATAGTGCAATTTGGTTCAGAGTTTCATATATTTTGATCAAGAAGCTTTGTGGGGGGAAACCGTCTTTTGGAGCTGGTAACTCTGCACAGAATAGGGTTGCATGAGAGGAGAGCACAACAGCAGCATATAATATTATCAGCTTACCACTGCATTGTACCACAGCGTGTCTTGACAGTCAAACTCCCTGCCTCCGCGTTAAAATTTATAGGAAAAACTCAGCAAAGCAATGATTATCACTTGTCTGTCTTTTAATCCTTTTTCTTTAATTCTTTTTCTTTTGTTCTTTAGTTTCCCTTTGAAGACAATCTCTTCCAATCAATGTACTACCCTCTCCAGTCAAAATTCCTTGATACTGTACACACTTTATGTGGGCGAATTCCTCAGGTTTTTCTGAAACAAATCGAAAGAACCATGAAGAAAGTCTACGAAAGCCGGGTGATCGTTAACGTTGGAGCCAACTTCAGATTATAAGCGCAGCAATATATTTTGATACAGTTTTCATATTCTTATCCAGTCCTCCTAAGGGACATTAGGCTATTTTAGGCTGCAATCCTATACACACTTCCCTGGGAGCAAGTCCAACCTAACTCAGTGGGGCTTACTTCAGAGTAGGCATGTATAGGCCTGTGCTGTCAGACAGTTTGCAGCTTGAGCAAAAGTGCCAGTTGGGGTGTTAGTTTATTGGTTTGGTTTTAATGGTGTATACATACAGTTCACGAGGTTGATGATAATGAGAGTGGACATGGGTGAAAGTCTAGGAATTTCACTGGAAGATGTCAGGATTTTTCTGCAACCGATTTCTAAAGCACAGAGTCTGGACGTGTCCTATTTCAGAATATACAACTCACAGAATTTCTGTGAGAAGGTCACTTTCTTCTTCAAAGTCATTACTTTTACTTGAAAGAAATTCTGTTGACTATGTTTACAGGTATCACTTCAGTTTTACAGTGGCAGTGGAAGGAAATGCATTAACTTTTCCTCACATAATGAACTCGTAGCTCTTATCTCTTTACTTCCTAAAACTGATGAGGGGAACCTTTGGCCCTGCAGATGTTACTGAACCACAGTTCCCATCATTCCTGATCATTGGCCATGCTTGCTGGGGCTGAAGGGAGTTTTGGTTCAGGAAGATCTGGAGAGCCAAAGGTTCCCCATGCTTGTCCTAGATCTTATCAGTATTTTGGACCTTGATGCTTCCCTCACGAACATCTTTCCTCTATTGTGGTTACCAAAGCTAGTGTAGGAAGTACCCATGAAATACAAAAGTTTGTTAAGTTAACAGACTAGCACCAGAGCCAGCTACAGGGAAACAGTTTTGCGGCAATAACCATACCATAACAGCAATCTATCAACTGAGCATTAATTAGGATCAGTGTGTAGGCTGCTTCCTTTGAGCTGAACATGAAACTGAGGGAAATTCATCCTGGCTATACGTTTACATTGCACTGTTATATTTGAGACAGAGCTATCTATCTTCTCTACAGCAACAGGGGAACTTGCTGCTGCAGAAGTGCACTTGGTAGATTGTAGTCACAAGCCACTTGGAACATCTTCTCTGCAAGCCTCAATGGGTGAATTGAAGATGCAGAAAACCCTTGCTCAACTCCTGTGCATTTGAAATTCAGTGTGGCTGTATAAGGGGCAGTTTATGAACTGCACAAAAATTAGGGGTGGAGTGGGAGAGATGTTAGGTTAGTAACAGATCTTGAAACAGGCTGATGGTTTTGCCTTTGGGGTTTTTTAAAGTAAGCTGTAAGTAGATTTCATACTTGTCTAGGCCTGAGGACTTGGATCTGTTTTTCTGCTGCTAATAGCAAATGCCTACTAATTGCTATGGCACCAAGTTTAGAGAGGCCAAGACCACCTGCTTGTGGTTGCTTTTGCCATGCCCAAGACCCCACTCCCCCACAGACACATTTGTCCTCAAAAGTATAATATGGGTACTGTTTAAATATATAGTGTCTCATTGATTTTGAATACAAGCACTCTGATTTAGCAGCCGTCTTCCATGCACAGAAAACTGTTAATGACTTCTGCTACACAAAATAAATAAGGAGCTGCTCCACCGTTCTTTCTTGCACGCAGGGGATCCTGTGTAGGAAGTTCCTGTGTGTGGGTAACAAATGAGAACAAATGGTAGAATAAAAAGGCAGTAGAATAGATTCATCTATACAAAGTGTTGTCCATGTGGAAGTTGCTTCAGTGGCACAGTGCAGTACAGCTAGTCAGTTGGCATTGCCACCCTGCCTATGCACATCTCAAGGCTCATTCAGACCTGGAGAAGGTGAGCAAGCCATTTTCAGGGTCACATATATGCAGCCATTTTGTTTAAAGCATCACCGGCATTGGTAAGTCTCTGGCTCAACCACCTGCACTAGCCGATGCAAACTTCAATGGTGCAAAGAGGAGCATTTCTATGACTACAGCACCAACAGTGGTAAATGAATGAACAGTGTTGATAGTGCAGTATACGACACTGTTATAATAAGTAGCAGTGTTATTCCAGCACCATCTCTTATCATTTCATAGTATTTATTGCCTCCCGTGGGAGAAATAATAACTTACTTTCTCTCTCTGCCAGTGTTTACACCACTAATGAGAATAGCAGGCACTGTTGGTGCTATTTCCTTGCCACATGTAGGTAAGATTGTATATAAAGGACCAAATGGGAAGTCTGATTAGCTAGTTGTTAAGGTGGCATGGGACTCTTTGGTTATGACGCAACACAGAGTTAAGTGTTCCTACATTCATTAATCTCGATGGGCTTCAGCACGCTTATGTCTGTGACAGATTGTGCCTCACCTTCTTGGCAACAGGTGAATACAGCTGTATTTAGGAAGCAGAAGTGAAGGCTTGCAGTGCAATAACAGCCCCATTCCTGTGTGAAAACACAGAATGCTGTCTTTGACAGAAATGGGATTGTACTGTTCCACCTGTAGAATTTGAAGAACTGACAGAATGTCTGCTGTAATTCTCCCCTCAGCCACCCCCCATGCATACTCTGTGCCGCCCCCAAACCTCCTGAAGGTTGAAGAGCCCTTCAGAACAGATTTGGGTAGACGATGTTCCATCATGCAATGAAAAATCCTTCCAGCGTTGGTATATTCACCATAGCGCTACATGGAATACAACCTCAGGTTACTAAGCAGGTGTCTTTTAGAGATGTCCGATGTAGCGTATGGTTTCAGAACAAATTCTGATTATGTGCAGTTTCTTTGTGAAAAGGGTTCCTGTCACCCTACGTATCTTTTACGATTTCTGTGTGACACCTGAGAGCATGTTCATGTTTCAAGCTCTGAAAAGATCTTCAGTGTGTTCTGAAAATTCTGAAGCCTACCATGTTTCAGGTAAAATGGTCTACAACACAGAGGGAGAAGTGTAGTACAAGTAACTGCTACATACACAAACCTAGCATTTGATTCAGGCCAGTCTGATAAATGTGTGTGGTAATCTGATCTCGGACTCTGGAGAGGAGGACAGGTATGAAACTTCTGCTGAAATTCGGTAACAAATGCTGGTCATAGGCCTTCTGCTTTCAGAGTCAAAAGTTTAAGTCCTTTTCGTGTATTCAAATATCGAGTTCCAATTTCATGATTATGGTAAAGTAAAAGGGGTAGGTTACGTAATGAAGGAAGCAAAGGGCTTGAGTTGGGTGTGGAACGGATGGGTGTGACCCTCCAGAGACCGTTGGACTACAACTCCCATTATCCCTGACCATTGATAATGCTGGCTGGGGCTGATAGGAGTTGGAGCCACCAATATCTGACTGGCAACAAGTCCCCTGCCCCTGTTGCAGAAGAAAGCATTCTCACTCCTGGTGCATAATAGATTTTCAGAAGTTGCAATGTTATTTTGTATTTTTTTGTTTTTGTTTTTTACAAGGAAGCATATTTTCTCCAATGTCTGCCTTTGGTATATGAAGGATTTGCTTTAACATTAAAAACCATGCTGCACAATATTAATGAAATTATGCAAAAGAAATTGTTTTCCATATACATTTTATTTGGGTTGGGAGGGTGTAGCTACTAAAGTTCTTAAGGAGTTTTTTATATATATATAAAAAAAATATTATATAAATGTTTACTTTTTCGCATAGTAATTTATACTTTGCTGCAATTTATGGCACTATTATTACATTTCTGTTTTTAACAATAGTTTGTTTTTGAAAGACTTTTATTAACATTATGCCATACTCGTTGCTGATTTCTTTGAAAAGTGCTTCACTTATTATAAAATACTGGACATATACAGTTGTACCTTAGTTCTTGAACGGAATCCATTCCAGCGACTTCCGAAAACGTTCAAAAACTAGGCACGGCATCTGATTGGCTGTAGGAGCTTCCTGCACTCAATCGGAAGCTGCGTCAGGTGTTCAGCTACCGAAAAACGTTTGCAAACCGGAACACTTCTGGGTTTGCGGAGTTCGGGAGCCAAAATGTTCAGGTCACAAGGCATTAGAGAACCAAGGTACAACTGTATAAACCTCTTCCTCATCCCTATGTAGTATTGCTATATTCTGAACTAGAATAATATTGCCAGAAGAGTGTTTTCCACCTATTGTGATTTAGAAGGAGGAGGTGTCATTAGAATGCTTACTAAACCAATCCAGAAAAGGTCACAGTTTTAAAATATTTGCAGCAAATGCATCCATCTATTCCAACCTTGTTGCGGATGGGCTTGTGATGAAGCCACAGTCTGATTGATTCACCACCTACCTACCCATGAGCCATTCATGATATGATGAGCTCACTGTGCATTAAATGCAGTCAGTGAGTGAGCAGCAAAATGCTAAGTGCTCAGTGGTGAGCATATATTTTATGTGCAGAATATCTCACGATCAACTCCCCGCATCTTAAGCTAAAAGGATCACAGGTGACGCCTTTAAGAACTGTCAGTCAGAATAGGTGGCACAAGGCTAGACAGATCAATAACCTTACTGTATACATTCACACTGCACACCTCCAGGTGCAAAAAAAGACAAACCAGCATGTTAGCATGTGGCGCAAACAATATAATCTAGCCTTGCACTCTTTAAATCTTACCGATGGAAATAATTAAACGTACAACCCTAAGCATCCTTATATATGCAGATTTAATTCAGTTGGAGCCACTGTCCAGTCTTGGGCAGAGTTAGGCGTGGTTCTTGCTTTCAAGCTTAGATGTGCCTAATTGTGCTGTCAAGCTGCAAATATGCTTATGATTTCAGCAACTGCCCAAACCTTATCTCAAAGGGTTTGGCCATTCAAGCTCAAGAGATCCTGTCGAGGGCAAAAGAAGCTATTTAGCATTAAGCTAGTGCACAACTAGCTACCTTGATCTGGGTGGCATTCCTCCAGTTGCTAGACACTATGACCTCGCTGGATTCCAAACCCCCAAGTACGAGTTGATGGAGGTTTGCCAAGCAAAAACTCCTGCCTTCCCATTTTCCCTGGTGTAAAACACAACACCTTAATAACTGTGCCGCCTCAACACTTTACATAAAAATAACCCTTGCAGTCCATAGGACTTTTGAGTAATATGCTTAGGAATTGGGAAGTCCAGTCATGAAGTCTAGCATAAACTTTGTAAGCACAAATTATTTGAAATAATTTACTCAAGAATAGTAGTTGAGCAGAACTGAAATATTCAAGGTGTTTTTTAAAAAAATTCTGCCAAGGTTGATCAATCCAATAGAACCCTGGTCTTATGTAGCGATATGATTGCATATGGAAAAACGATACAGATTTCAGTGGAAAGCAAAAAATGCTAATTGCTTTGTGTATGTATAGTTGCATAAGGTATGTCTATAAGGAATTGCAATCAGTGTCATGCTACTTAAGTGTCTTGTATATTTGTATTTGACAAGTGCACCAAATTTTTATAGCTCCTAAGGAGATGATTACAGTGCATTTCTAAGTCATATGCAATTTTAGGCTTACCGTGTAATTAAATGAACTTTTGAGCAAACCTCATATTTGAATAGCCTCTTTTTTTCCCTAGGAAAGAAAATTAAGTCTTCCAATAATCAGGCTGCCTATGTGTATGCCAACATAAAATTGTCCTATCCAGATACTCCCTTTTAAAATGGGACCTAATTCTTGATTTTAGTCGTTACCTGAAATATAGGACATGAAAGTGTTTTGTGGTTTTGTTTTTGAATATGCTTTTTATTAAGTTTTCATTTTAGATACACCAACACCAACAAACAAATATATCAAATCTTTTTACATCTATCTTACTTTATGCTCCATAGAGCCATTGACTTTCCTCCTTCCCTTCTGCCGGTTTTCTTATTCCAATTTTTAATTCATAGTTTCATTAGTAAAAGAGTAAACCATGACATAGGATTTATTTCAGTCCTGCTAATAAGACATGAAAGTGTTAATAGTGTAAGCAATCTGTGCAGTAGAACATACAGTGAAAGGTGCTTTACATGTAGGCTACTAGAGAGTGTAAACAAACGAGTCATAAGAAAGGGCAGAAGAACAGAACGTACAAGCAGAGTGCATGATGCTTTCGCAATATAAAGCCTTGCATGTATTTCAGGCTGTAGCACGGATTCCCCTCGTTGTATGGAGGCAAAGTGTGAAGCGTGATCTCTACACTTAATCCCTACTTGGGGACCCATCAATGCTACAGACAGATTAGATTTTACATGGGGGGAAATGAATGCCTAATTTCTGTAATGCCACCAGCCAGTATGCTAGACAGAGCCGGTCTCCTATTCAAAACTGCAGGTGGAACTTCTGTGGTCAGAGCAAATGCTTGACACTTGGCCAAAAGCAATATTCCTCCCTTCATTTTTATTCCTGCTGCTATTTGGATCGGCATTCGCTCATTACCTTCTGGCTGTCCCTTTCGCTGTCCACTGTTTTTCAAAGATACGGGGCTGAACAGAGCATGCCATAGGGTTGCCTCTAGACAGGTCCAGACTTGTGAGACTAGTGCAGCGTGTACTTGGCTATCTCCCGTTCAACTGTGGGACATTCTTGCATTGAGATTGTCTACAAATGTTAATCAATACTTATTTACCTATTTAAAACACCAAGTACCACAGCCTGTGCTATCAATATCCATAACTTGTTTAGGACAGCATGTCCCTTGGGCGAACGAGCATTCAAACCTTATTCAATGCTTTTGTTGTTGGAACTGAAAGATGAATGCTCTAAATTTGGATGAGTTGGGCAAGCAGCTTGCACAGTTGTGCTGAGAAAGGAAAGATCCTGAGCAGATGAATGTGTATCTTGGAAGGGTGGAAAAGGAACAACATGGGGAAGAGCAGAATACCCAGTTTTGTAGGATAGCTAGATGGAGGAGAGAACCTATGCTCACATTTGCTATTGTGACTTCAGAGTAGTCGGAGATGGGGAACTTAACTTGTGGCCCTCCAGAAGTTCATAGATCATGGAAGGGATCCTGAGGATCATTTAGTCCCAACTCCCTGCAATACAAGCATAGGCAACTGTGATCAAACTTGCAACCTTGGCGTTGCCAGCACCATGCTCTAACCAGCTGAGATATCCAGCTATTGTTGGACTTCTAAATTCCAGAAAACATGACCAGTGGTCAGGGGTTGTGAGTTGTAATCCAAGAATATCTAGAGAGCCACAGATTCCCCATCCCCAATGTGTAAAAAAAGAAAGAACAAGCAACTAGCTACACACACATCACAGAAAGATGCCCCTAGACTCCTAGAGAGAGATTCTAGGCAAGCAAAGCGCTCTCTCTCTCTCTCTCTCTGTGTGTGTGTGTGTGGAATATAGGCCCAGTAACCCTGCACCCCAGAGCACCAACCAAGTAGATGGCACAGGTTGGTAGTGATGGGTTGTTGCTATGCCCTCGTTCTCAGTAAGGTGATAAACCTGTGTCTGGAGTGTTCCACCTTTAATGTATGAGCCCAGAAGTGATGTCTTATTGGATGATCCTCTATACAGAAAAATAGTAACCCTGCACACAGAAGACCAGCATGTCAGTGAAAAGGCTAGCTTGGAATGCATTTTCACCAACAGCTAGAGTTCTGCATGCAGGGATTTTTATTGTATATTTTTTATAGGGGAGTCTTTACCTGAAGGGAGATACCCAGACACAGTTTGTCCCCCTCAGTGTTTCCTTGCCCAAAAGAGTACATAAGGATGGATTGGAGAATTAGAAAGGCTCTAATTTCACTCCTCTCACATTATTTACACCTCCTTGGGGAAGCTCACCTCATAGTTTGAATACTGCTGACCCAGACTGAACCATCCATTTCCCCCATGTATCTATTAACTATATTTCATTTCCAAGGCAGGCTGCGTCTTAATTCTACTAATAGTATATCTTATTTTTCTCCTAGTCAGTGCTAATACATGCTACACATGTATCACTTTGTTTCTGTTGCAACCTATGGTCAATACAAAATGAATTGCTACAACTGCATTCATCAGGATGAGATTTAAAGCTGCTAAATTGTACAGGGTGCACACAGCACTCCATTTACCCTGGACGGAATTGCTACAACAAGCTGCCTGTATTGGACAAGTTATGGTCACTGGAGATGTAAATAAATTGCTTAGATGAGCCTTTTTTCTCCTTACACCATTGCATCTTCTATCATTATATTCCATGTTTCTGTATACAGTTCCTGGGTGTGGGAGACAGCATTAAAAACAGTGACAAGAGAAGAAAACTGTTAACAGGTTATGTTCAGTGACTTCTCACTTTGGAGAAGTCCCCCTCCAGGTTAAGAGTCAACGTGAACATACAAGAGTGAGTGATAGCTGATGCTAATGTCTGCACTCAAAACTACCAGAGCTGGGGAGGAAAGGACACATTATTCAACTTTTGTGACAAACACAACATTTCTGGTCTTCATGCAAAGACTGGACTAGATCCATGCCCTTTGTCCATTTGCCATTGACTACTAAGGACCTGTACAAATAGCCAAATAACACTAGTCAAGATGACTCTATTTCTGTTCTATTTTTGTCTTATCATTGGTCCATAACTATTAGCGTTGACAGACCAGCTCTGGCATCTGATTAGAAAAGAAGGTATCTGCTAGTTTCGGTTGCTGTAGGTGAAACATCAAAAGAAATAGAAAATCCATAAATTTGGTTTATACATAACATTTACCAGGATATATTACAACAAAGCAAGCTCATATACATGGAAAGAACAAGAAAATAAACCATTTCATAGACCTGGTGAAACCTTCCAAAGGATTAAGCAAGCATATAAATATATTGCATTTTGTATTGCTGTTTTTTATAGACCTCATTAAAAAGTTGCAAACATAAACATATACTAGGGGCTCAGACGTTGCCATACCTCTGTGACTCACCTGGATCACTCATTTGGGTGGTCCATCTGCTTGCCTTTCTTCCCTCTGGTTCCGACCTCATTTTGCCCTGGGCTTCCCACCTGCATCTCCATCCTCTGAATGTCTCCTCACCTCACCTGTATGTCTTCTCCATCCTTCAGTTCCTTCCTCACCTCACCTAGAGCTGACTCTCCCTCCAGATCCCTCCTCCTCTCCCCACCTTACCTGGGCTGCCCACCCAATGATCTAGCTACTAGCAGCTTCTCACCCTGTAGATTGCAGCGCCACCTGTCTGTGGCCAATCAAACTGCAGTGTGATGGCATCCTTAGAATTTTATATATTATAGATAAGATATCTGTTCTGAACCACAGGCCCAAGGGATACCAAAGAAAAATGTCAAAAACAGCAGAATTGTGCAAACTTAAATCACAGTGTGCAGAGCCTCATTGCCTTTACAGACGCAGGACGGACACTGTAACAGTGAGTGTCAAATCACCCCCAGAAATCAAGCCACAGAATGATCTCATCGGCTCTGACCTTTGGAAAGTCCCATTGTCAGCCTGAGAACTTTTCAGATTCTTAATAATAGCTGCTGCAGTAGCTAGCATCCTTGCTGGACTGACGCATGTGAGTTTGGTAACCCGCAAGGAGATTGATGGGGCCTTAATCCTTACTTTCCAAATGTAGCTCATGGATCATGACTGAAACTGAGCCTCAAAAAAGAAGATGAAAAAAATGATCACAGAATACGGCTGGTTGCTAGGTACTCGTTGGGTTTTGGTCATGAATGTGAATCACTAGGATCCAAGCAGTGAAACATGGATGCATTATGGGATGCCAAGTAAAGAAGAGCGCTAACTTATTACAGAGTGTCAACTGCAAATCCCCCAAATTGGAACCTCCTCAAAACAAATGCTAAAGTACTGTGTACTTTTGTGCCAGGAACCCTACTTTTGTGCCCTCGTAAGCATGTATTGACAATATCCAGCTGGTGTTCAAAGTCTTGGAGTAGGGTAGGGAAGAGGCCATGATTAGAGGTGGCGGGTGGGAATAAACATCAGAGGGGAGCCAGCTAGCTGTCGAGATGCTAAGGTGAACCAAAATTGCATTGCTGGCTAAGTTCAAAGAATGATTAAAGGTGTGTTTGCTATCACTCCCATCATCCTTTCTACACAGCATCATAATGGCAGCCTAGTTGTCCAACATCTTCTGAGGATGTAGCTCCATCATGACTTCTGCCCCAAACAGACACAATTCTCAGCATGCAGTTGTTGGTGAGGGCTTAATATGTCCACATGGCCACCACTTTTTGGAAAAAGAATAAAATCTATCGCTGCCATAGGGAGACCTCTTTTAGTGCATTGAAGCAGTTAACGAAACCTAGACAGACCTACGGCATGCATGCCTAACATTGCTCATTGTTTGCTGTTGGGTTTTTATTTAGATTTAATGCCTACTTTAATATTTATTTGATTTTAGACATTTCTAACATTTTATTCTGTGAACCACTTCGGCATCGTTGGATGACAAGCTGTCTAATATACAATTATAAATAAATACATACTAAATAATCAGAAAGAAAAACCAGGAAGTCCCTGCTGGCCCTGGAGAGATTTGAAGACAAAGAGGAATGCTGAGGGAGATTGCGAAGGGCGATGCAGGTAACTGCTGGCCCCTCCAGTGGAGCCTTCTTCAGCCATATTTATGGAGCAGAGGACTCTGGAGAGTGGGAAGGTGCCCGTTTTTTGCTTTCCTTGCTCCTGAAATATCTCTGTACAGAGCAGAGGTTTCAAGAAGCAACCAAAACCCTTCACAGCCAGCATTCCTTTCATTCTTCCCCAAAATAATCCCGGGAACTGTAGTTCACCCTCCTAGAGTTACAATTCCCATAACCCTGAACAAACTACAGTTCATTGGATTCTTTGGGGAAACCCATGTGCTTTAAATAAAGTGTTTGGATAATACTTTGCCTTTACAGAGCTTGAGCAGTTCTGTTCTCTGTTTTCCCATACCCTCCATTATATTTTATTTTATCCCTTCTTCCCACCCCCATCCCCAAGAAATATCCTGTAATTCTGTGTCTCTGCCCTCAATCATAGATATTAGGTTAAAATCCTAACTTCACTGACCTTGAACTAAGCACCACTGAATTCAATAGTGCTTCCTTTCAAAGAAGACATGGTTAGACATCTGCTGTTAAATGACAGATAAACGGTAAAGGTAGCCATGGTAGTTCATAAAATCCACAGTTGGGCAATACATTTTTTGGGACCAACCAAAATTTCACAAAAGAGGGACAAGCTTTCACGTTTTCCATAACTCTTCATAAGGCAAGATGTTACAGAAGGTGCAAAAATTAGGCTGAGGTAATAGTCATGAGGTTCAGCTTGTAGACTCCATTTCAGGTTGGAGATTGGAAGCTGAACAAATCCCTCCCAGCTGCTAGAGATACCAGGTTACACCTGGGATTCTGAGATTAAGAAGCAAAGGCTGCTCCCCATTTCTGAGAATTAAAAATCTGGGTTGTGGTTGTCCACATAGTTTGCCCACATTCTGGTTTCAAACCTTCCCCAAAGCAGAGATGAGAAATCCAGGATTTTTGCATAGGTGTAACTAGGGCGAGCATGTAGTCCTCAGGCAAAAGGTAGAAGCAAAGTCCTTGTCTTTGATGGTTAATGGGAGTTCCCAGAGAAGGTGAGTTATCTTAATATAATTTTGTCTTTATAGGCTCAATTGCTGTCAACATTCCCTTCCTGGCCTATTTCTTTTTTATTATTTAAATATTTTTGTTTTAATTTGTGTAGGGATGCTTTCAAATATGCAGAAACTATTGTTTGTGGGTGTGCCCATTTTACTTCCAGATCTTTATTCAAGTTAGCTATAGTGGTAATGCTGCTAAAAAGGTGCTGGTTAATATGACAGTTACAAAACCTGGTTTGTTTTTTTTTAATTAGGTGGTGGAAAGCCTGTAATTCCATAATGTTCTCATATACAAAAGTATTCCCACTCTATGGTCTGAACTAAGCAAATCTTTAATTCACTAACATTTTTATAATACATTTTTGTACCCTGGACAGCAATTGTTCCTCTCCTTATTGGACATTACTGAAGCATAATATGCGCTGTCACCCGGAAGAATGTGAAAGATGGATGAGCCTTGTCAGTTACTTCATGGAATGACAAATTGGCTCTGCCCTCCTGAAAACTGGGGAGATGGGGTGGGGAGGTTTTCTCTACCAGCCTGGAGGATGTTTGAGAAACTACTGCCACTTGAATTGTATGATAATAACCATTAAGGTGGTTCAACAAAGACAGGCTATCATCTCAAGGTGTTATCTCTAATTCTATTCAGAGACACGGTGATATATATTAACACTTCAAGGACGATACATGGGTGTTTTTTTTCTGTTTACATCAGTGGTACTACATTTGTGTAAGGGAAGAAGTGGAGCCCCCGCCCCATCCGCAACAAAAATGGAGGGGCAAGGGAAAAGAAAACACAAGCTGGTGTTTTAAAAATTAGTTTATTGTGTGAAAAAAACATCCAGTACATATGGGTTATTCTAATCGCCTGATAAAGCAACTCAGAGTACATATACAGTGGACGCTCGGCTTGCGAACGTGATCTGTGAGGAAGGCATGTTCGCAACCTGCAGCGTTCGCAGCTCGCAGCACCGCGTCTGCGCATGCACCAAAACCCGGAAGTAACCCGTTCCAGTACTTCTGGGTTTCGGCACATCCGTAACCTGAAAATGCGTAACCCGAAGCGTCTGTAACCCGAGGTATGACTGTACTGAGTTAACTGGTGTACCAGAGTAAGAAAAGTGATGGTCCTTTTTCCTTGAAAAAGACCTTCAGTAAAAACACATCGGGCAACCCTACTTAGGCTGCAGTCATGGTCCCATTTACCAGAGGCTGTTGCTGGCATCCAGCTGTCTTGAGAAACAAAGGAGTGCACCTACAGGGGTGAAGTCAAACTGCTGCGTCAGGCCAGGGTGCAAGCCTGGCAAGTGTGTATGGAGATACTGGGTTGCTCAAACAACAAGAAACACCTGCCTCAGCTTTGCTGCTGTGGTCCAAAAGAAAGCGGAGCAATATGTTTGGCAACAGCTTGACTGCAGGAGTTGCCAGGAGGTGTACAAGACACCATCCAACCATCTTGAGGACTCCACTCTGTATTTGTATAAGGTTTACTCTTTAACCTTTTCTTCTCCTGAAGATATCCTGCAAGGCAGCAGAGGTTTAGGACTAGAGTTTTCCTTCTCCTATGCGGGCTACCTTCCCAGGTTGACATGCCCCATTTGCCCCTCACTTCCCTCTACAGCACATGCAGAAACCACCTTCTTGACCATTGGACCCACTATTGTCTCATTGGTTCAATCCACTGGAGCCTGTCTTTACATGCAGAGGAAGTTCCTAACTCACTGAGGATTTGAGACCCATCAGCTATCCTCACTTGGTTTAGCTGGCCAGCCAAAGCAGTTTCCCTGGGTGTGCTCACACTCACATGCTGACACCTAGGAGCTACAGGTGATAGCTGAGCACAGGGTGGGGACCAAAGGTGAACAACTACCCCGCACTAGCTTGCAGCCCCCCACCTTCTTTCCACCTTACTAAGTTAAAATATCAGGGTCTTTTCCAGGGAGTCTTCTCTTCTCATGATGTGGCCAAAGTATTGGAGCCTCAGCTTCACGATCTGTCCTTCCAGTGAGCACTCAAGGCTGATTTCCTTAAGAATGGAGAGGTGGTTTGATCTTCCTGCAGTCCATGGGACTCTCAAGAGTCTCCTCCAGCACCATAATTCAAAAGCACCAATTCTTTGGCAGTCAGCCTTTTTTATGGTCCAGCTCTTACTTCCATACATCACTACTGGGAAAACCATAGCTTTAACAATATGGACCTTTGTCGGCAAGGTGATGTCTCTGCTTTTTAAGATGCTGTCTAGGTTTGTCATTGCTTTTCTCCCAAGAAGCAGGTGTCTTTTAATTTCGTGACTGCTGTCACCATCTGCAGTGATCATGGAACCCAAGAAAGTAAAATCTTTCACTGCCTCCATTTCTTCCCCTTCTATTTGCCAGGAGTTGATGGGACTAGTGGCCATGATCTTAGTTTTTTTGATGTTGAGCTTCAGACCATCTATTTTCACCTTCATTAAAAGGTTCTTGCAGTCTACTATAAATGTGGTCCTACTATAATTGACTGTGGTCAGCCCGTAAACCATGTGTATGCCGCATCTTTCGCTCTATAAGACGCACCAGACCATAAGACGCACCTAGTTTTTGGAGGAGGAAAACAAGAAAAAAAATATTCTGAATCTCAGAAGCCAGAACAGCAAGAGGGATCGCTGCACAGTGAAAGCAGCAATCCCTCTTGCTGTTCTGGCTTCTGGGATAGCTGTGCAGCCTGCATTCGCTCCATAAGACGCACACACACTTCCCCTTACTTTTTAGGAGGGAAAAGGTGAGTCTTATAGAGCAAAAAATACAGTATGTTTGTGTGTGTGTGTGTGTGTGTGTGTGTGTGTGTGTTATGAACTCAGAGGTATGAGAGGAGACAATTCAGCCCCTGATGCAATCTCCGTGGTGCTGATCATAAACGTGTTGTTTATGTGTGGAGTGAAATGGAAGGCACTGTGGTATAAATGGGGCTTAATTTGATACTGGGATGCACTGGAGCTTAATCCAGGGACCTGTTTTCTTTAAAAATGCAAAATAACGGCCTTCCATTTATTATTGATTTTAAACAATCAGTCAGCACATTTAGGATTGACAGTAGGATTTACTTATCAAGGGATAAGAGCAGGATTTACATTCCAAGGGTACTTTACTTTATCTCTGTCCATCACAGTCCATAAGCTCCTATGGTTATTTTAGAAATTAAGCACTGAGTATATAAGAAGGTTATTAAAGCCTATCACCACAAATCAGAAGATGTGGCAGCAAATCTGTGTCTGGCTAATACCACCACAGGCTGACTTAGGACTCTCTTTATGCAATGTTATTTCATATAAAAAAATAACTGCTTATGGAAAATAGACTGGCAGGCTGATAGCCAGACTAGAACCGTTCTGATGACATTTTCTGTTGACAGACTGACTGACACAGACAGACAGACAGATACTGTATATTCAACCTGAATAGGCAGAGCTGGCCCAAGACAGTTTGGCCCTGGAGGCGAAGGGGTGAGTGAAAATCTACAGCAAGAACAAAGGGGGTGGTGGTGGAATAAAGATCTACACTGGGATCTGCTGCCCCTGTGGATCCTGCCACCTGAGGCAGTCACCTCACCTTGCCTCATGGGTGGGCCAGCCCTGTGAATGCACTCAAGATTTACAACCTCATGTGCCTGCCAACTAGGCCTGAGTCTGATATAGTGAAGGAGAAATAGTAATTTACAGAATCCTTTCTTGCCTCCCTAACTATGATATGAAATAATCCTCTTTCCAGCCCGTGTTATAGAATTAGCTGGATGCTGTAGCTGCTATTCATCAATCTATGGCTTTTCTAAGCACTTGGGGTGTTGTCTTTTTATTTTACTCTCAGTACTTTATGTATTTTGTGTTTTATGCTGCAAACCTTCCTGGGATCTATTGACGAATGGTGGTACAGTATATAACAAATCTATCTCTGCCCATCACAGGCCATTACACAACGAAAACAAATTACAAAAAATACTGTGTGTATGTCTGTGATGAGTCTCACTACTCAGCACCATTCATGAAACAGTGAACGAATTCCAGGTATAGAATGATGCAAGAACTGAAGTTCAGCTGCCCTCAAGTTTTACAACTTTATAAGACTGTCGAAATAAGTTTAGCGCCATCCAGCGTGAAATCCTCTCTCCTGTGTAGCTCCGTCCTTAATCTGCAAGGCGATGCGCCATTATATTCTGACGGTTGTTTTATTTCAGCTCACGCAAAAAACCGGGACGAGCACATGTGGGTGCTTTGGGGGGCACCGAAAGGGGAAAGACCCTTGTCTGTGAGGTGGGGTGGAGAGGGCTCGTGTCTGATAAAGGGAGGCCGACGTAACGCCCGACGCCACCGCGCACCCAAAACACCAGCAAGGCGGGAGAGGTGCCGAGAGAGAGAAAAGCCGCACGTTTCCATCTCGGAACGTGACGCAGCCGGCAGAGAGGGCGGGGCCAGCCGAAGGTGAAAAGCGCGCCTTCCGACCAATCCCAAGCCGAGCTGCTTTGCCGGCGATGCGGCTCTCCCTGCTCGGCTTGTTTGCCCCACCCCCCCTGGCTGGGCGGTGACGTCATGGCCGCGGCCCCTCCCCCGCTCCTCCTCCTCCTCCCCTCTCGAGCGCGCCCCCGCCCCGGCGGGAAAAGGAGAGGCTCGTTTCGGTGCGCTTGCGAGAGGGCGTCGGGGGCGCGCACGGCGACGGCCTGGGCGCCATGTTGGAAGGTTGCTGAGCCCGGCCGCCGGGGTTTCTGTGTTTCTCTCCGTCTCTCTCTCGTCTCTGTCTGTGGTGGAGGCCGTCGCTCCCGCGGCTGCTGGTGCCTGCTTCCCGTGAGGGCCCGGGGGGCGGCAGGAGGAGGAGGAGGTAGTGGTGGTGGAAGAAGAAAAGGAGGCAGCAGCGGATCATGGATATCGAGAGGCTGCAGGAGGCGCTGAAAGGTGAGGTCTGCTTGTTTTTTGATGGGTTGGGGGGGTTGGTTACCCCGGGGTCACCCAGGGAAGGGGTGACCCCGGGGTAACCAACCCACCCACACCCCTCAAAAAACATGTAAGAGGTTGTAGAGGAAGCCCTGAGGGAAGAGAAGGGGAACGGGAGGGGGCAAGATGACCTGTAAAAAAAGGAAAAGAAAAGCTGTGTGTGGATGTGGAGGAAGTCCAGTCAGAGTCTGATCAGTCTTGCTTTCCAGGCCCCTAATTTCTGGGGTGAGGGTGGTGGTATGTGGAGTCTGAAACGACCCAGAGGTTTCTCTGTCTCCTCCCCCCCCACCACCTTCCTTCTATCTTGATCCCCCCCCCCCTTAAAAAAGGCCCTCGGAGATCCCTCTCCACTCTCAACGTGAACTGTTTCTTCTCCACAGTCCGTGGCCCCCAATGGATTCCCCGTTTCCTTTCCCTTTCCCACTTCCTGTTACTTTCTGCTTCCATAATCCCCCAGCCCCACCTCCAACCCCACCCACAAGAAATCTCTGGTTTACACTGGCTACAGCTTTCACCTCACCTGAGGCAGGTGGCCTAGTATGAGAAACCGGCTTTGAAAGGGAAGTTGGATATGAACTTTCCAGTCATTGAAGTGTATATGTTGTCCTTTGGAGGCCTATAAGGCCCTGGCCTTTTGTGTGTGGGAGTGAGTATGTGTTTCTTTTGCTCCTTAATAACCTTTCTCCCGTTTTTCTTTACCTTTTGCAGATTTTGAAAAGAGGGGGAAGAAGGAAGTGTGTCCTGTACTGGATCAGTTTCTTTGTCATGTTGCCAAGACTGGAGAGACAATGTGAGTGATTTTTTTAATTGACTAACAGCCTCTTGGTGTGGTTTTGGACATGACAGAAAGTTAGTAGCCAGTGTTTTTCCATTATAGGAATACTTGATCAGTTAAGTTTCTACAGAGTTCTACACTAAGAACTCTGCAATCTGAGTTTCTCAAGTTTTTCTGTTCGGGTAACTTACTTCCAGACTTAAAAGTTGCTGCACATTCATTAAAGACTGAGAAGTATCTAAGTCCCTGTGCTTCCTTATAGTATCGCTTGTCAGCCTTAATTGATCCTACTGAGTACATTAAGTCTGCTGTTTTTTCCTTTTAAGACAACCACCCGCACTTCTGACCTCTGCTTTTATAGTCAGAAACCAGAAAAGCATGTGTTTTGCAATCAGTTTTTGGAATTGTACTTAATGAAAAGTACAGAGGTTGAGTCTCAAGCCTCTTCTAAGTTTGGTTCAGCTTTTCACACATGAAGCCCCAATGTGAAGCTTCCTGCACACAGCTGTACACAAATGATGACTTTCTGTTCTTTAACAGCTTTTGATTCACTAGTTAGCATAAGACAATGTTTCCCCCCAGACGTTTGTAATTGTGCTTTGGGGCAGTGCTGGCCCTGTTTGGTAAACCTAAATTGGTCTGAATTTTCAGACAGTTCTACTTTAGTTACCAGCACATTGGGAGTTGTTCACACAGTAGCAGTTTTGTGCCAGTGCATCTTGATCCAGAAGTGTACTTAACCACACTTTCCAAGCCTTTGTTGGTCACCTTCAGGCCCAAGGCAAATATCTATGCTTTTCTGTTGGTCTGCCTTTTTCCTCCACACCACTTCCCTCTAATCTCTACAAAATCAGGGAGCAAATCCCTCTCTACTAGATAAGATATCCACGACTGCCTCTGCATAGGTTTTTTTAAAACGATTAAAATGTTTCTGAGCAGAATTACAGTTGTTTATTTGTTAAGATGAGAATGCCTACTATTATTTGAATTGCTCTTATTTGCCCAGGAGGATAATTTATTGGCAGCCCTCCTTCTCTAACCAGCCCTTTGAAAGGACATTTCTTCCTTCCAGAATGGCTAGCCATGTGCTTGGGATCTACAGGACTGAGATTCCAGGTAAAACCAAGTGCTTGGTTTTCCCAGATCTCTCAGAACAATACTTATTTCATACTTGTTCATATAATCCCACAACCAGGCAGTGTCTTCTGTTCTGGTGGTCTCCCTTGTATCCCTGTTTTATCTTGTACCTTGTACCAACTTCCAGCCCTGCCCACTACATCAGTTTCCAGAAGCAGTGAGGTTGAATTTGGATCCCTTCCATTTTAGAGAGTGTGGGTAGTGGAGATTGGCATAGTCCTGTGCATGGGACAGCATGCAGGTCATTTGTAGTCTAGGGTGCCAGCTGCCCAGAGTGCTGAAGAGTCTTGTCAACGATGCTCCTGGACTCTCCTGCTTCTCTTTAAGCCGGTGTGATGTAAATCCTTGCTTCTTATACTACTTGTGGCACATATGTCTGGCTTGAGGCAATATGGTCAGTTGTGTGTTATTTAATATATAAAATAACATATTTATTTATTGTTACTATAGTGCCATCACTCTGCATGGTCCTTTATAAAGTACAAGTCCTTGTCCCAAGGGGGTTACAGACTAATTCAGGACAAAGGGACAGTAGAGGAAGAGGCAGTAATTGATAGTAGGATTAATTAGAGGAGAAATAAATATCTATTTCAGTTACACATATTTAACACTCTAATGTCTAATCCCATACCCTGCTATAGCTACGTTTATGCCCAAAGGAGTCTCAAAAAATGAGTTTTGAGGAGGGATTTGGTGCATCTCCAGTGTTCTGGGAGGTAGTTCCATGCATAAAGGTAACAAGAAGTAAACTGGGAAATAATTTGATGGTCCCCAATGCAGACAGTGAAGAGGTGTGGGGCAAGGCCATGGTAGGGTTTGAAGATAAATATGAGAAGCTCGTGCTGGATACCAAGAGAGTACAGGAAGTCAGGATAGGAATTTAAGGAGGAGCTTTATGTGGTCAGAGCAACAAGAAAGGTGGGCGGGGGGAGGTGAGACAACAGAAGACTAGAGAGGTGGTTAGGACCATAGGAAGCTGCCTTACACAGAGTCACACCATTGACCCATCTTGCTCACTACTGCATAGTACACTGACTTGACCGGCTGTGGATTTTCAGGGTTTCAGGCAGCAGTCTTTCCCCACCTTTCCTGGAAATGTCAGGGATTGAAACTGTCTTTCTACATGCAAAGTTTGGGCTCTGACACTGAGCTGCAGCCCTTCGCTAAGGCTGCAGTAGAAAAGATGAGGAAGCACACTTTTTATATATCTTAAGTTCCCCCCATATTATTATTATTATTATTATTATTATTATTATTAAAGTTACAGACTGCTTATAAACTTCACTTCTCTAGAGCTTCCCTGACTTCCTTATTGTCTCACTATTTAGCATGAAGGAGAAAGGTCTCCAGTGTGTACAGTGCAAATTTTCTTGCTCCCAAGCTATCCTAGTGGGGGAGGGTAATGCAAGATGCAGGCTTCAGCAAGGAATGTTTATTTCAGTGAGTATCCTTTTAGAGTTTATGTCTAGCTTACCAGAGAAGCTTTACTTCCCTTTGTGACTGGTTTCTAGGGAAAGCTGACGTCATCAGTTTTATTTGGCTCTTTGAATTAAAGGGTTCAAGCTCAATAACAAAAGAAAGTTGCTCATGTCTTACTCTAATATATATTCAAACTAAACTACAAAGACATTATTTTTCTATACTTAGCTGCACCAGTTTAAACTTCGTTGTTTTGTTTTTTGTCATCCTTCCATGGTTAACTGTTGACAGTGTCGCTTGCAGGATCAGTTTAATGCAGTGGATGCCAGACAATTATGTCTCTACTCATGTGATGAGTCCTCCTCTCATCCCCCAGGCATCTTTACCAAATCTTCTCCCGTGGCTTGGAGAATTGTATGGATGTGGAGAGGAGGACAGGGAAGTCCCATTGCAGAAGCAAGAGTCATAGAAGCATAGAGTTAGAGATGGAAAGGTGGCCCAAGGGTCATTTAATCCAACCCCCTGCAATGCAGGAAACTCGATTTAAGCATCTATGACAGATGGCCACCCACCCTCTGCTTAAAGCCCTGCAAGGAAGGAGAGTCCATCGCCTTCTGACGGAGTCTGTTTCTGTTCCACTATTGGAACAGCTCTTACCATCAGGAAGTTCTTCCTGATGTTTTGTTGGAATCTCCTTTCTTGTAGCTTAAATTCATTGGTTTGAGTCCTACCCTCCAGAGCAGAAGAAAACAAGCTTGCTCCATCTTCCATGTGACAGCCTTTTATATATTTGAATGTGATTATCATATCTCCTCCCAGTCTCTTCTTTTTCATGCTAAACATACCCAATACTGAATTCCCTCAGCTGTTCCTCATAAGGCTTGTTTTCCAGACACTTGATCATCTTCGTCACCCTTCTCTGCACGTTTCAGCTTGTCAAAATTGTGCCCAAAATTGAACACAGTGTTCCTGGTGTGGTCTGACCAAGAGTGGTACTATTGCTTCCCTTGATTTTCACATCATACTTCTGTTGTTGCAGCCTAGAATAGTATTATCTTTTTATGCTGCTGCATCACATTGTGGATTCATGTTAAGCTTGTGGACTACTAAAACCCACACAATTTTGGATATTAGCCAATGTCTATTAAAATTTGTGTCAGTATGATAGAATGGAACAATGATTGTAAAAGCTTGCATACAGGCAACCCTTGATTTGTGCAGGGGTTATATTTTGGGTCATTTTGTGCAATGGTGGAGCATGTATAAGCTCACCCATTATGCCCCTTTTCCCTGCCATTTCCATGTTCGCAGCAGTGCACATGTGCACGGTCGCGCCTTATTTGAATGCACACTAAATGGTCATTGCCTGTATTTCTTATTTATATACTTAATAGTAGCCTGAATCCTATGTGGCCTTCCTTAACAAATTTTATTTATTTGCTTTAGTATCAGAATTAGTCCTCTTTGACAGTTTGGCTTTAGAAAGTTCATATTTAGCATCTTAACATTTTGGTAACCTTAGACTACATTAGCTTTCAGGATGAAATGCCAGGACATATTTTCAGGATTATTGCTGTACCTTTTTAATTAATATTAGCCTGTTGGTTGAAAGTCCACTGTAGTAAGAAGCACCAGTATTCAAAATGTAGCTGTTAAGTTTTTTTTTGTTTTAAGAAACACCTGAGAATTTCCCGATAGAAGAATGTTCTGTTAATGGTTGGCACATATACAAATGATTATATACATGTCAACCATGAAAAAGGGTTGTATAATAAAAGAGGTGGCAAACCTGTGCCTCATAGACCATATGCGCCCCTCAAGACAGTTTCAGTGGACTGCAAAGACCACACTTTCCTTTTTGATTTAATAATATGGGGGATGTGAGTGGTTTGTGGCATTATTTGTGGGTCTTACAGTCTTAACTGAGTGCCCCAGTGCTATTTTGTGCTTTCCTCTGTTTTCATTCAAGCTTTCCCCAAGAGTCTGCTCTGATTTTAAGTGGTAAACTTCTGTATTCACAGGATTTCTTGAGCCCTCTTGAACACTGCACACGGTCGGTCGTAGCCTTGTCTTTGGCTGTTTCCAGTAGCTGTGATGTGGGGAGGGGGCAGCTTGGAGCCCCATCATGGCAGGATTCCATTCATTCCCTTTTCCCTCCTCACCATCTGATTCAGTGAGCAGAGACATCCCCTTTAACTGCACAGGGGGCTGCATTTTCTCATCCCTCCCCTGATTTCTTTAGTGTAGCCACCAATATTGTCACCACTGTTGTACCAAAGGAAAGGTCACTTTTTTTCTTTACCAGTGCTCATCAGGGCAGAAGGATTGCAGAGACCTCAGATCTTATAAATCCGATGCTACCATGCTTAGTGGCTATACTGGGACCTCCTTGAGACTTGGTTCTTGAACCTTGAAGATACTGGCAGGAATACAGCCAGTAAAAGTGAGGGCAGGGAAGCATAGAGAGAGTAAGGAGGCAGAAAGTGGGGAGGAAGTGGGTCCTGCTGAGGGATCTGTGTCTGCTTGCTTGTTTCCTTCCCCCACCCCCTGTGTGTTATGTCTATGTGCTATGTGGGTTGGGGCATTCACACATGAGATATGCATGTTGGAATGAAGCCTTTGAAGGTGAGGCCTGTACTTTGAAGTGAAACAGGCTAGGCAAAGGCTTGTAACCTCACTGAGAATTGCGTATCTGTGCTGCAAGCGTTTGTAGGATGAAGATGTGCAGTTCCCTTTCAACAGTTTGAACAGGAATGTGTTGTGTATTATTAGGTAGTACATTGAATAGAAGTATGGCCTGCTTTAACAACAGATAATGCACTTACTGGTTTCCATGGGTTAATCAATTAGGAAAAATGATTGTTCTGGAAACTTGGTGGAGGCATAGCAAAGCTTGAGGCAAGACCTGTTCATAAAGCCAGTTATTGTCTGACACACAGACTTCACAAAATTAATGCTTTGTTGATGCTATTGGTTAGACTTGTACAATGCATTCTGTTGTGCATTCTGCAAGCATTTTGAAGGAAGACAAACAGATAGTAAATGTGTATGTTTAACTGTGGTGTTAAGCCATAACAACAATTCAAAAAAAGTACAAAATTTCAGTCACTCAGTTTAGTTTATTTGGTCTTCAGACGATGAACATCAGATACAATATAGTGTTAAGACAACCATAGGAAAGAAACACAGCATGAATGCACACATACTGTGCCTTTAAAATAAGAGTATAACAAAATCCACGAGCAATCAAAAGTAGTTTAAAAATGCAGACATCTTTAACTCTGAAATCATCTAGCTGTGGTCTAGTTTTAATGGCTACAGTCAGGGACTTTGCTATATTTTCATTAATTTTGGGGTTAGTGCCTGTCATTAAAATTGAAACATAAAATTCATCTGAGTTCCCCAAGTGTAAGGAAAGTACTGGGGAGATAGAGTAGGAGTTTATATTCTTATAAACATTACAGTATAGAAGAGCATTGGCCAATGTTTCAGCTGAGCCACTTTCACAAGGACAAACTATTAAATGCCAGGGCAGCATGATAAATCAACTTTTCGTAACTGCTTATGGTAAAACAATGGATTTTTCATTTCTTATATATTGTATTGAATTACAACTTGAATTCCAAAGAATTCAAATTCTTTGCAATAAAATACAACATAAAATATAAAAAAGCTAAAAATACAATTTAAATGTATATGAATTTAAATGTGATGGATATGCCATGTCCTGTCTTCAACCACAAATTAATATACCATAGTTTTCGCTCTGTAAGACGCATCAGACCACAAGATGCACCTAGTTTTTGGAGGAGGAAAACAAGAAAAAAAAATTCTGAATCTCAGAAGCCAGAACAGCAAGAGGGATCGCTGCACAGTGAAAGCAGCAATCCCTCTTGCTGTTCTGGCTTCTGGGATAGCTGCGCAGCCTGCATTTGCTCCATAAGACGCACACACATTTCCCCTTACTTTTTAGGAGGGAAAAAGTGAGTCTTATAGAGCAAAAAATACGGTACACGTCATTGACCACTGAATGAAACTGGTTGGTCACTGCTGGTCTTCAGATCAGTTTGCAAACCCCTGTGTAGATCAAGGTACAGTAGTGTGCAAACCCTTTTTGCCAGAGCTAATGAATTTTGCAAGTTAATAGCTAGAAATTTAATGTAGTTGTTTCTTTTTCTAACCCAGGTGTCAGAAAATGGGATAGTGAGTAGCCAATGGTATGAAGTTTGTTATCAACAAATTTTAGCCAAGAGCAAGCAAAATTAGTAAGCAAAGCCAGGGATAGGTAACTCATATGGGTTGAAGTGTATGGAGGGAGTGGGGGATGGTAACATTTCCAATTTCATAAAGCTTCCTTTGTTGGAAGTTTCTCACATCCCATGAATGACTAGGTTGGTGTGACTATTTACAAGACTGCATTTAATTATTGTTAACTATCTTAGGCAAGCTAAAGTTCATATGTGAAAGTAGATAAACAGGACTTGAGCTGCCAAGTGTTGCAAAATTATGCTCCCTAGGAGTACCTGTTAGACTCCCAACTCCTTTCAGCCTTTGCCTATATGGCCAGTGATCAGGAATGAAGAGAGAGTTGTAATCTGAAACATTTGGTGGACATCATTTTGGGGACGCATGCAGCACACAGTGTAGTTTAAACTTGCTTGATTTCTTTGGCAGTGTAAACATTATTGCTACAAAAACAATAGACCAAAGCTTCATGCATGAGGACATCTCTCCTGTGTGCATAATAATGTCTTTGGGTTCTGATTTTTAACTACAGTATCATTATTTGACAAGGTTTCTTAGAAGAAAATTATCCAACTTGAATGCAAAACCTGTATTGTCTTATATTATTTATTGAGCTTATAAACCACCCTTCCTCCAAAGGAATCCCAGGGTGTTTTACAACAGCAAATTAAAACAATAGGACAACATATGCAACAAAAATTCAGTAGCAGACATGATACTCTAAAACTTTGCAGACTCTAAATTAGTGAAAAATTGTATTTCAGTTGATTCTGGAAATCCATGAAAATTGAGGCTAACCATACCTCCTAGGAGGAAGGAATTCTGTAGATGGAGCACTGTTACAGAGATGACCCTGTCCTGTGTCATAGCACATTGATCTATCCCCAATTAAGGGCACAACAAGAAGGGCCACCTCTGCCAATCTCGGAGGATATCTGTAATTTCATTTTAGAAACTGAAAGTTTGGATCACATCGAGATATCACACTGCTTTTTGGACAATATTGGGAATAGCTCAGTCGGTAGAGCATGTGATTCTTAATCTCAGGATCGTGGGTTCACATTGGGCAAAATATTCCCGCACTGAAGGGGGGTTGGGCTAGATGATCCCTGGGGTTTCTTCCAACTCCATGCTTCTTAGGTCCCATGGTAGCATGTAAAACTTCACATAATCAATAAATAACAGTAGTGACCATGTGGTTGATGGGGGCAAACAAGGTAAAGGGTGTGGTTTTTTTTGGTTACTTTCACATCGCTTCAGATACTTTTGTATTTGATGCAGTGTAACTTTTCTCTTACCGTGAACATTTTTTTGAACTGAACTGTTGAACAGCTTTCATTATCAAATTGTTGGTTTCTGATAATGAGCATATGCTTTTTAAATGTAGTTTTTTAAAACTTAAAATGCTGCCAATTTGCTGCTAGTGAAGCATCAGTGCAGTTCTTCTGAATTGAAGGCTGTGCATGTGGGGAATGTATTTATAATCTGTCAGTCTGTTTTATCAGCCACATTATTTCAAGGGAATGTGTGAAAGGCATGTCACATTTTGTGCTTTTTTGCACTAGAGGATTTCCTTGCACATAAATGAGCCTCAAGTGATAGATGCTTTGAAAATGCGAACAGCCCCTATGCTTTTGCTGCTGTTTCAGAGCTGGTTGCTGTACCAAACACTATTGAAAATTTGTTGTGTGGAATTTTTCATTTTGGCTCTTAATTCTTAATGAGGAAATAAGAGCATTGTAACAAGTTGTTCTGATTCACACAGCTTTCTTTAAGTATAAAGGCATTTTCACAATCTTTGAATGAAGTTCTTGTTTGTACCGGAAATAAAACTGCATGCCTGGACATGTCAGTGAGTTGAAGCTCTACCTAATTTTATGTTCCTTGTAGTTGCACATATTGTGTCTGGTGTGAATTATAGAGCAGCATGTGACAAAACACGAAGCAATCAGAGCACCTCTCGTGTATGCTAATTTACTTGCATGCTAATTCATACTCTTTCATTCTCCTGCACTTATTTGACTCTAAGAATGAACATGAACAACTTGTCTATCTTGTATCTGTTTACTTCTGTTGGTTTTTTTTAACTACTGTTTTTTAACTACCATGTTGGACTTTCAATGTACTTTTCAATGCTTGCATATCCAGATGGGTCAAAATTAACTGCCAATGGTGGGTATTTGTCAATTTTACGTTTACTTATGCTGCCCAGATACTGTTGAGTGCAGTTAGGAGTTCAGATATTGTGAGAAGACACCTTAATAGTGTTGTTTTGCCATTTTTTGAATTGACTGGCAAGTTTCCTTCTGCAGGTTCTAGCATGGAGCTGGCCATACATTTCAAGTTGTATTTGACAAAATTATCCTGTTTGAGCAGCAGAACTTCCTTTCTCCATGTGCCCCCCCAGATCTTATTTGGAGGGGGAGGACCAGGATATATTGGGTGGATGAAAGGGAGGAGTTCTGTTGTGCAAGTGGAAATTGTTGTGGCAAAAGTACAACTTCATTGGATACAGGCCTTAGTGGTTTTCCTTACTTATTTAACACTTCCTTTTCCAGTAAAAACTCAAAAATAAAATGAAGCACATAATAATAATTTTCAGTGCATTTTACAAGAAAAGTTTCTAAGGAACTTTTAAACATTAAAAGTTCAAAGATGCCCTAAATGTTTTTAAAATACAAAATATTGAGAGTGTTTATCAACTGACAAGACAATAACAATGAAAAATATTCTTCCCTATCCTATTTAAAGATTAAAAGAAACCCTACTAAAATCAATTTGCCTTAATTCCTAGTACTGCTTAAGTTGAGGTACTATTCTTCCTTATATGCACAGAACCCATGCATGTGCATGCAGTACAACAGGCCATCTTGTGATCTGGGAAGTCTGTGCATGCTTCCTATGTGCACTCAGAGGTTCTCCTACAATCAGGTAGTATATAAATTTAGTTAAAAAGAAATCCCCATTTTGCCTTTTTCTTCTCAGCCTTGTTACATTATAATTATTATGTTTTAGTAGCTGTTGTTATTTATAAACTACCCTTCAAACAAGGATCGCAGGATAGTTTACAGTATAAAAACACAAAATATGTAACATAGTAGCAAACAGAGCAATAACACACATGGATAACACACACACACACACACACACACACACACACAGAGTTTAAAAGGCCATCAATTGTTTAATTAGCCAAAAACCTGGGAGAAGAGGAATGCTTTTTCTTGGCACCTAACAATAATAGCTTGGAGTACACATTATCATCATTATCATTTACTTGCCCTTCACCTTAACGTTCCAAGGTGGGTTGCAACAATTCAAACACAATATTGAAAGACAGTTCAAACAACTTAAACCTGATCATGCGGAATAAGAGGATTGTATAGGGATGGGGGAAGCATGCACAGATGTTTCATTGTCTGGTCTTACATGCTAGGAGGGGTGTGTGTGGAATAGAGCTCTTTTAAGCCCAGTGGGGATCCTTCCACACATGGGCAGAGATTATCATTAATTATCACTCTAGATACTTACTTTACAGCATTTTGTTTGCTCTTATCCTTCCATTGGGTCTGTTTATGCGTTTTATGAAAGCTTTAATCAATTGCAGTAATTCATAATTAGGTGTAAGAGAAATTACCACAAAACATATGCATATTACTGAAAAAATTAGTAGTAGTAATAGTACTATCCAAAGCTCATGGATTTGGTTCCATTTGAAATGATCCCACATGCTGCAAACACTATCTAATCAGTGTCTGTATGTCTGTGTTCCTGACTACTCTTTGTTCCAGAAATCACAGTTGCACTCTGATGTTTTCAGCAGCTAGTGTTAATTTTTAATCTGACCCCCCAAAATATGTGGTTTTCTCAGATAATGTATGGTAGTCGCAGGTGGCACTGTGGTGTAAACCACTGAGCCTTGGGCTTGCCGATCAAAAGGTAGGCGGTTTGAATCCCCACGATGAGGTGAGCTCCCATTGCTCAGTCCCAGCTCCTGCCAACCTAGCAGTTTGAAAGCACGCCAAAAGTAGATTAATAGGTACTGCTCCGGCGGGAAGGTAAACAGCGTTTCCATGCGCTGCTCTGGTTGCGGTGTTACGTTGCGCCAGAAGCTGCTTAGTCATGCTGGCCACATGACCCGGAAAAAATGTCTGCGGACAAACGCCGGGTCCCTCGGCCTGTAAAGCAACATGAGTGCTCCAACACCAGAGTCGTTCACAACTGGACTTAACTGTCAGGGGTCCCTTTACCTTTACCTAGCTGGTATTGAAGGGATTGTAGAAGCTCATTCATACCTGTAAACTGCTTATCCAAAATAATTGGTATTAATAAAAATTGTCTTAAAGGTAAAGGTAAAGGTACCCCTGCCCTTACGGGCCAGTCGTGTCCGAATCTAGGGTTGTGCGCTCATCTCACTTAAGAGGCCGGTGGCCAGTGCTGTCCGGAGACACTTCTGGGTCACGTGGCCAGCGTGACGAAGCTGCTCTGGCGAGCCAGCACCAGCGCAGCACAGGGAAACGCCGTTTACCTTCCTGCTATAAAGCGGTACCTATTTATCCACTTGCACTTAAGGGTGCTTTCGAACTGCTAGGTGGGCTGGAGCTGGGACCGAAAGACGGGAGCTCACCCTGCCGCGGGGATTCGAACCGCCAACCATGCGATCGGCAAGCCCTAGGCGCTGAGGTTTTAGCCACAGCGCCACCTGCGTCCCCCAAAGTTGTCTTAGCCCAGTCTATTAAAAATGATAATTTAGATAGTCCTTGGTAATTTGCTTCAGTTTCTTCAGTCTCTGAACAAGGAGGCTTGTATTAATGGAGTGTGTCCCAGAAATGTGAATGCTGTATTTGGAAAGTTAGTTCTTCCCTGTTGTCATAGATTTCATGCATGTGCACAACATGTGAAACAGTAATTTACCGGTAATTTGGACAACATATTTGGTGACCAATCTTGCAGGCTTTTATTTCCAATCAAATAAAGTAATATCCCTTAAGCCAGTGAACTCTCAGTAACTTCATTAATCTATTCTTTGTCAGGTGATTTGCAGCCTAATTAAGGTGCTACTTAGAAATAGTGGCCACTTCTGTCACAGTGGTTTCCCCACTTGCCCCAATACTTCAGAAGCAGAGAACACTGGGGCTCAGAGATGAAACATCACAGTATTGTTTGAGAAATGAGGAATTTACCATGTTCACTAATAGCACCATCACTTTAAGCACAAACAATGATGAAAGTGACTGTTTGGCAACGTAAGAGGGAGTGACTGAAGAGAATGTTTAATCAGTTTTGTCATCTAGGGGACTAAATACAGTGGTGCCTCACAAGACGAATGCCTCACAAGACAAAAAACTCGCTAGACGAAAGGGTTTTTTGTTTTTTGAGCTGCTTCGCAAGACGATTTTCCCTATGGGCTTGCTTTGCAAGACGGAAACGTCTTGCAAGTTTGTTTCATTTCTTAACACCGCTAGTACAGTTGCGACTTGACTTCGAGGAGCAACTCATAGAACGCGGTGTGGTAGCCTTTTTTGAGGTTTTTAAAGACTTTGGTGATTTTTGAAGCTTTTCCAAAACTTTCCCGACACCGTGCTTCGCAAGACGAAAAAAATCGCAAGATGACAAAACTCGCGGAACGAATTAATTTCGTCTTGCGAGGCACCACTGTACTTCTGTTCAAGAATCTTTCACTGGCAACAAAGAGACAATTCAAGTTAAAAAAGAATGAAATTTGAAGAAGCTGGCTCAGATAAGAGAATGCAGAATATCATCTGCTGCCACATTTTTTTTAAAAAAATAAAATGACCAGCATGTGCAAATTCTATCTGAGTGGCATCTCAACATCTACAAGAACATATAGGGAGATCACAATTTAACTTGTTTGCTTTAAAATGATTGTAAAATGACTTCTTAAGGTGGTTTAGAAGTCTGTCAATTAGTGGGAATGTGTTGGAATGAGATGATGTAAAAATCTTAAAGCTTATCTAAAGATATAATAAGCTCCTTAAGACTTGATGAAGGCAAATGGGGTGGATTCTCCCCCCCCCCATCAGTGTCTAAAAGACAGTTGAGGGTTGTTACAAAACTGAAGAGACATTGAGGATTCAATCTGAGTAAAAAGGCTTGATTGCTAGAGTATTGGGGATCTTGTGATAAACTATCCAAAGCTGTCAATATAAGGGAGGAGGTAATGGAGCCTTTGTTGTGGCTGTACTTCTGTCTCTTGCTATTCTACAGATTTCCTTTGGCATATTTATTTTACTTGCACACAGCAATCCGTAATGCTGAAATGAATAGGAAGCCCTCCTTCGCACAGGAACCTCTGCACATCATAGCACCAATGTAATTTTTAAAATCAGGATGAATGAGAATCTAATCTTTGGAATAGATGGAAATGAAAGCAGTTACTTGATAAATGAGACTCAGTTCCCTTTTTCTAGGATGAATGAATTACTACTAATTATGGTGCCAGCCCAATATTGTTATAAGTGGGAAATATGTCGAGCTTTTTTTAAAGATGTAATTATTATACATCCTCTAAATGGGGCTCCAGGGGCTCTTATGTAAAGAGGCAGATTGCTACAGCTAAAGATTCTTCCAGACCGCTCACTGGATCACTGCTTTCTTTTAATGCTGTATGTAAAACTATTTACACAATATGTTGTGTAAAGAATATAATACCACAAATTATACTAGCTAAGGTACTTTGAAATCCTGAATTCACAAAAGGTGGTCAGTAGTCACTGCCATATAATCCAACTTAACTGTTGCCTGCCACTCTCATAGACACCCACCAAAAGGTGAGAGACCCCTGACTCCCAATTCTGCATGGATCACAGTGAAGCCTGTGGTGAGAGGGGGGTTGTCTCTCACTTCAAAGTAAACTTTAAGGAAAGGCAGAGCATGCATGCTTGCGGGTTTCCAATCTTTGCTGATTGCTGGTACAAGTCACTCTCACTTTGAGTGATGACAGAACATGACAGCTACCATGAAAAACCAAATTTTGGGAATCCCTGCTTACAATACAAAGTAAACGTTCAACAGATCAAAGTTTTAAAGATATAAATACTCTATACCTGCCTTGTAGAAGAAGCTGTGATGCAACTCTCCTACCACTACTGAACAGGGAAAATATTTATCTGCTAGTGAAGACAAAATTACCTCCCCGCCCCCCCAAAACACCTTTAATGTGGGGCGCCCACCTTATTCCGGTATGAGATTATGATGATTTCATCACCCCCACAAAATAGCCACAGATCTTACTGTAGTGATGAACAGATCTCTGGCAAATACATCTACAAAAATACGATCTTGGTGGTAAATAGCTCTTTAGACAAATTGTACATATTTTTTATCAGAATAAATTAAAGAGGAAAAAATAAAAAGTTAGAAATGGATCTAGTGGCACAATTGCAAAGTATCAGCATTCAGAAAGTTCAAATAAGGTAGGGAATAAATACACTGGTACCTCAGGTTAAGAACTTAATTTGTTCTGGAGGTCCATACTTAACCTGAAACTGTTCTTAACCTGAGGTACCACTTTAGCTAATGGGGCCTCCCACTGCTGCTGCCACGCCGCTGCTGCACGATTTCTGTTCTTATCCTGAAGCAAAGTTCTTAACCTGAGGTACTCTTTCTGGGTTAGCGGAGTCTGTAACCTGAAGCGTCTGTAACCTGAGGTACCACTGTACTATTAAATGTTGGAATGATATGTGCTGAAATATGCTTGGCTTCTCTGCTACATTATTTTCATTTTTCTTCCATGGAACTTGAGGATTACCAGGCAGTCTTCCATTCATGCATTGACAAAACCAGATATGCTTAGCTGCTTCATCACTTGCCTTCTGACTATGCCCAGAAACACTAAAATTAGTTCTCTGTTGGTGTTCATTTAGATCTGGATGGGTGGTTCACAGCAGTTCTTGCTTCATGCTTCCAGGGTTCTGTGGTGTTGATTATAGTTTGGTAGTACTTAATGTCTTTTGATGTATATTTCAGCTTTTAGGGAAAAACAGTTAGAAAAATGAGAAATAATAAAAAAGTTGGCAGACATTTTAAATTGCTTGAACATCATGGGTAGCTAATATTGAAAATACGGGAAATTAATACAGACTTGCTCAAAGACTGCCACAGTTACTCTGTAGCAAAATCATTAGTCTTTTACCCATCATTCACATCCCACATCTAAACTTGACTATTCATCTATATATGCTCTATATATCTATACAGTGGTACCTCGGGTTAAGTACTCGATTCATTCCGGAGGTCTGTACTTAACCTGAAACTGTTCTTAACCTGAAGCACCACTTTAGCTAATGGGACCTCCTGCTGCCGCTGTGCCGCCTGAGCATGATTTCTGTTCTCATCCTGAAGCAAAGTTCTTAACCTGAAGCACTATTTCTGGGTTAGCGGAGTCTGTAACCTGAAGCGTATGTAACCCTGGTTAAGTACCACTGTATATGCTCTTCTTCACCGTAGTATGAACTGTATTATGCATAGGCTTTTCCCTGAATCTTCTCACTTATCACATTAACTTTGACCATGAAAGCCATTGCATTCTTCAGTGTAAAAATATATAATAGAAGATAACTAAAGAAGAAATTAATGTAAAGCTTTTTAGGTTATTTTCAGGATTACAAAGAGCAGATCTGCTGTACTGACATGAGGCTGAAAAATATTAGTTATCTGGAAAATTAGCATTGTCAATGACAAATGGCAAGATCTAACCAAGTGAAAGAAGCTTCCCAACTTTTCATCTTAGTAACTTGTAAGGATAGCAGTAGGGCTTTCCCCATAAGATAAAAGGCAAATAATAAGAACTTTTCAGTCTGTAAAATTTAAATGAAAAACTTAGAAGCATCAACAGCTTGGAAGCAGGGGGTATGCCCACATCCTCTCCTACTGCCACCTCGTTACCCCAGTTGCCTAAAGAATAGGAGAATAGCAGGATGACAAGGCTCATTGTATGTGCAGTGAAACTTTGAATTTTCTATATGCATAGGATAGCATCATGCATTATGCATGATCTGGCCAAACTTGGGGATAACTCTGAAAAGCAAGTGTGGTACACAAAGAATTTGTGCTAATTGTTTTTGCATTAAAATATAGCCCTTGGTTGCTGAATAAGCTACTGTACTGTTTTCCGTGCATTCCTCTGAGAGGTTGGTTGCAGCATTGTTGTGATGAAGCCATGGTAACAAGAAGAATGAAAATGTCAGTAGGCAGAATCAAGTTAAGGGTGAAAGTGGCCAGCAAGGAAAACAGTCTCTCAATCAAACTGATAAAACCGCTAAGCTGGTTTAAGCTCATGCTGGCGCTGACAATAGCTAAAAGTTTACTATCTTCTAATCGGTTTTTGTAGATGTTAGTGTTTTGAGACAAGCTGGATTACTTTTGATGCCTTCTAAAAATGCATGTTCTAAAAATATTGCTGCTTTCTTGTAGTTGAGTCTTGTGCTGCAGAAAATTCAGAAGTTTGCAAGATCACGTGCCCTTGCACAAGTGCACCACAGGTGTTGGTGCAGCCCCAGTAGAACACACCACCAAGGCTTTTGCATAGGTGCAGCAACCTGGTTCGGTTCACATGTGGACAAAATGTGGGTAGACTACCTCTTTCCTTGTGGGACTGCAAGTATGCTGCCAAACACAACTGCCAGCTGCTCAAACCAGGCATTTATTTTAGCTTTGAAGAGGCTGGAATATCCTCCTTCCTACTAGTTGCAGAGACTTAGGAGCCTTTTGATACTCAAACTGCAAGGGAAAAATCACTAGGCATGTACTTGCCCCAACACTACCCTTTCCCTTACAGCCTGAAGGAGATAGAGCAAGGATGGGGAACTTCTGGTCCACAAGATTGGCAGGTGAGTATGGTTCTGGGGAACAATCAGCTGTCATCACGGAACTGTGATGGGTGCTGTTTCGCCAACACAAAAACTTAGAACATATGTAGGGGGTTGCTGGTAGAGGGAGTCTTCCCGGACTCCAAAGCTTGAGCCTTATAAGTATAGCACAGGATAACCACATGGGGGAATGGCAAGTCATACTACCTGTTGGATAGATTGCCTGGATTAAGTAATTCATCAGAATTCACCCAAAGTGGGTCTAACCTCTGGCATGAATGGCATTCGGTAGGTATGCTTCACTATGCCACAGATCTCCAGAACAGATACAGCCAGAAAAATTAATATTGGGTTGGTTCACAACATCTGATAGAAGTTAAAAATAACCGTCTTGATTGCTCATCTGCTTAGCTCTGAAAAAGGTTCAGTTCTGACTCATGCTTTAGAAATTAAATGTCTCATTTTGTGTGTGAATAAATTACATGCAAGGTAAATATGCAGGTTTGTACATGTTGAATTACAAGTATATATGAAATTGCTTTTCAGCATTAAAAACCTAAGGCAGGTAACTAATGGGGTCATAAAGAGTCAGAAACGACTAAACAACAACAGCAACAACAAAGTGTCAATGGGCAAGATATGAACAAAAAACCTTTTAAAAAATACTTCTGTTCCTAAGTGTTTCCTGCAACTGGATAGCACTTTTCTTTTTTTCTTTTTTTGCATGATGAAAGACCAAATTAAGTTAAACTGCCTAGTTTGCCTTCAAAATAGGAAACCCTCCTAATTGCTTCCTACTAGATAAACATGCTAACAAAAGTCTTGCTTGACTACCCACTGCAGAGTGGACACTATTGAATTTTCAGTTTTTATTGCCTTTTAGCTTCTTTAACATAAGGTTTTTGGTTAATATATTGTACTATGAGGGTGGCAATATCTTTAATAGGTTCCTTTTTCTGTACTTTTACGAGAAATAGCTTTGCTAAACATGAGACTTGAGCTAAATTTTGAATGTTGTGATTTCCATGGCAAAATCTGCATATTTCTTCAGAGTGTTAAGCAAATCACATGAAAATTAAAAACAAAACAAAAACATTTTCTTATCTTTATCTAGGTCTTGGACTCACAGCTCAGACTCACAGCTCAGGTGCAAAAGTCTCTGAAGTGTGGTTTCTAGGGTTCTTGGAAGCTGTACATTCCCTGACGTAGCTATTGGGACACAGCTCAAGGAAAAAACATCTGCGATACTTTACAGAGCCCTTAGAATTAACATGGTTTCGTAGTTTAGTTTACTAATACAGGACATGAAATCTGATTGCAATAGAATTAAGGAACCAGAAATAATTTCCAATTCAAAATTTTCCAGAAAGCTCACATCACAGCTTGCGTTCCTTCTAGTCCATGTGACCACCTAATGCTCAGAACTTGGATGAGAAAGACAAAAATTTGAGGGCAGAGTCAAAAGTACATAGAAAAGTTTAGGGGCTTTTTGACAAAAGCAAAACTTAAAGCTGTTTCATCTTTGAAGAACCTCCAATTTCTATTTTAAAAATGACATTCTTTTTAAACTTGGGTGATGGCAGGAAGGTAACAGGCAGGTAGTATTTATCATTGGATATATGATGTATGAATATGTATGTGTACAATGCAAAACTGCTTCCGTATTGGTCTGTGCATTAAAAGTTCTGCAATAGGTATGACTAACCTGTGGCCCTGCAGATGTTGGACTTCAGTTCCCACCACCTGTGTAGCATTGGCCATACTTGCTAGGGCTTGTGGGAGTTGGAGGATCACAGGTTTTCAAATCATGTTCTAAAACATTTGCATCTTACCCTTGAATGAGTCAACTAACTTTTTCTCGGAGAAGACCCATTGATATTACTAGATCTAGGTTAGCCGTGGTCATTAATTTAAACGGTTCTATTCTGAGTAAAAGCTAGCTGGACACAACCTCTTGTTTTTATCTGGCCTTCATTGTCTTTTATCTCTTCTTAGCCATAGAGTGAACAGGTGTCAGGTGCCTGCCCTTATTATGCATCTCAGGTGCTCACTTCTGTGTATGATTCAGACACACCAAGTGACAGTGAGCAGCAGAGGTGGAAAGAGAACCTCAAAGAACTCTTTGCCTGTGGGTTTGCCTGCTCAAGTGAAAGTGGATGAACTACATAATAGGAGGATATACTTAAGTTGGGTGTTGGTGGGGATATGCTAGATGGAAAGACCCTGGAAGTGAATTGAGACACGGGTTCTGATTTAGCCATCCATAGTGTAAAAGCTAGCCCTACCTACACAAGAATAAATGACTCATATCTGGTCAGGTGATTTCCCCCCTCTCTTTGTAAGTACTGTATGCTTTAGTTGGTTTAGTTGGCTTGAACGTGATAAAATGGAGACAATAAACCTATGTTTTCTCATATGTTAGAGAATATGCTTTGTACTGGGCTAGCAGGCACGATTATTTGAGGATACTTGCATGCATTATGGTTGAAAGTCAACAGAAATCTAATTTGGGCTGCTCCAGGCACAGGGAAGTAGATTTTCTGTGACATAATTCTACAACTGGTGTCTAGATTAGCTGCCAGTTGCAAGTGTGATACTGGAGATTTATATCCCTTATGAGAATTCAAAGTGGTTTTCAGTGAGAGAATACATTAATCCCTCGTTCAACCCTTCTTTCCGCTGAGAGTAAGGACAGTCATGCCCCTCTGCATACCAACTGGTCTTCAGCTGGATAAAATTCATGCATCACTGGAACAACAAAGGAGCTGCTTCTCTGAACCTGCTCCTAAACTACTCTGGTAATGCCTGAATGGAGGAACCACATGAAAGGTCAAACAACTTTGTGTATTGTCATTTGAATATCTGGAGTAAACCAAGCTTGACTGGGGGGAAATGAGTGGTGGACAAGAGTTTTATTAGAAAGCAGAAAGTGCCCTTTGACTTGTATCCCCCTCTCTGTGCGCTGGATGATGAATGCTTCTGCTGTTCAGGATTGAGGCATCCCTGCTTTCAAGTCTTATTTGAGCCTTGTTTTCATCTGATGTTTGACCTTATTTCTCTTAGTAAAGGGTAGTGTTATTAAATTTTGCTATCACTTGCATCTTCATGTAATAGTTCTGGTTTTGGGGGCTTAATGACGAAACCTGCCCTGTTTGTCAGTGATTTAAATTTGGTATTATGGCTCAGAGGTATAACAGAAAATACTTTTTATTTAATCACTGCTTGGAAGGCAGCTATACTTACCACTATACCCAGGTTCAGATCTAACAATCCATAGTTTAGAACCTAGCCCTACCTACACAGGATTGAATAAATGGCTCAGATACCTGGTCATGTGATTTTCTCTCTCTTTCTCTCTCTGTTTGTCTTGTTTTGCCTGCAGGTATTTTTAAAGCTAACTGTGCTGTGCATGCTTTATTGCTTTAATATAAATATGGTTAGCATGTGGTTCTTTTGTGTGCTGTTAAGCAAGCTGTGCGTGTTTCTTTTTTAGGATCCAGTGGTCGCAGTTCAAAGGCTATTTTATTTTCAAATTGGAGAAAGTGATGGATGACTTCAGAACTTCTGCTCCTGAGCCAAGAGGCCCTCCTAACCCCAACGTGGAGTATATTCCCTTTGAGGAGATGAAAGAACGTATTCTGAAAATAGTCACTGGCTTTAATGGGTATGCAATCTTAGATCAAACCTCACTTGTTGTTCAGACCGCATGATTTATTATCAAATTTAGACATTCTGTTTCTGTCTTTCATATTGTAGTAATTTTCTGCCATATGTTCGGCAAAATGAATAATTTCTATAAATAAATGTTTCTTGGCAAAGTTCAAACCATTGTGGTAAGCTTTCTGAATTGTCCTCATGCAAAAATCACTTGCTTACATTCTTTCAGTTCATATCAGGCTCTTCAAAGGTTGCGCCTTCTAATTTGCATGATAGCTTTTAAATAACTTACTAGATGACTAAGTTCCATGTGAACCTGCAGTGAGGACAGAATAGGAATCAAAACTACTAATTCTTCTAGTTAGTGTTGCAGGTCAGAAAGCTATGTGTTCTTTTCTACTACAGTGGTACCTCAGGTTAAGTACTTAATTCGTTCCGGAGGTCCGTTCTTAACCTGAAACTGTTCTTAACCTGAAGCACCACTTTAGCTAATGGGGTCTCCTGTTGCTGCTGCGCCGCTGGAACCTGATTTCTGTTCTCATCCTGAAGCAAAGTTCTTAACCTGAAGCACTATTTCTGCGTTAGCGGAGTCTGTAACCTGAAGCGTATGTAACCCGAGGTACCACTGTACCAGCTCAAACTATGAACCTAGCTTCTGAAATTCATTTGGCTTTAGTTCATAGGAACAAATGCAGGAAGCTACATAATACTGAGTCAGTCAAGCTCAGTGTGGTCTGTGCTGACTGGTAGTGACTTTCAGACTGGGGAACTTCACAGTCATAGAATCATAGAATTGTAGAGCTGTAAAGGACCCTGAGGATCCTTTACTGAGTCCAACCCCCTGCAATGCAGGAATATGAAGCTGCCCCCTATGGGGATCAAACTTGCAACTTTGGTATTATCAGCACCATACTGCAGATTGAACCTGGGACCTTTGATATGCAAAGTGGGTGCTCTGCCAGTGAGCTACTGCTCTTTTAATCATTTTGTGCCTGTTTTTAAGGCTTGCATGTTCAGGTACAGTGGGCTTGTGCAGACAGAACGCTGACTTCATGTTAAGTGCGGTTAAGAAATAAGGAGACAGCCTCTGGACTGCGAGTCTCTTGCCCTTAGCTGTGGTTAAGCACTTTTTGATACTACTAGGCACAATTAAGGTTAAACAGGATGTCCTCTAACCTCCAACCTCAAACAATGGGGTGATAATGGTCAGTCAGCCCCAGAGTAGACCTATTGAAGTCGGTGAACTTGAGATCTATTGAAATAAATGGGCTTCTCTGGTTAAATGAAACCCAGACTAATGTTGGTATCTATGAGCAGCATGGTTAAGGGGTGGGGGTGGAGAATGTTTCCAATACTGGCTCCAAATTGTTAGTGCAGTTACAGTGGTACCTTGGTTGTCAAACTTAATCTGTTCCGGGAGTCCGTTGACTTCCAAAATTTTTGGAAACCAAAGCACAGCTTCTGAATGGCTGCAGGAAGCTCCTGCAGCCAATTAGAAGCCTGGGAAGCTGCGCCGGATGTTTGGCTTCTGAAAATGGTTTGAAAACTGGAACACTCACTTCTGGGTTTCGATTGTTTGGGAGCCAATTTGTTCGGAAACCAAGACATTCGAGATCCGAGGTACGACTGTATCTTGGAGCCAGAGTTGTTGTCTCTGTACCAATTATTTGCAGCAATATATTAAACATCTCCTTGAATAATATTTGTTTGCTTGAGGTGGTCATATGTTTGTGGCAGTTGAAGCCAAGTTAAAACTGAGCTTCACAACCTATTCTCTGATTTAGAAATCCTGCATCAGTATTAAATTTATTCCACCATACTAGCATTGAATTCTGTCCACCAAGAACACCATCATATCCAATTAACGTTGGTACTTCCTGGCTCAGCAAATGCAAATACCAAAATATTTTATTGTAAATTCTAACAGGTATCCCACTGGCTTAGCTCAGTACTGGAATTATTATCTGCCCTTATTTAATAGAAGAATGGATCTTAAGGCATCCTATAATGCGCAAACTCATAAATGCATGAGCCTTTTTATTGTTGGACTGTCTTGCCATAAGACATGAAACAGTGGTTAAGAAAAACTTGTGTTATTTTCGAAAGTATTCTTTGATCTTGAAATTCAGAAATTTTAACCAGCAGAGGGAATAAGATTCTATAAAACATAGCCTAGAAGAATTATAAAATTCAGAGCATTTGGAACTGTGCAGCTAACAGCGTAGGGTTTACAATAAATATTATAGGGCTAAGTTTTTCTAGTTTTTTCATGAAAGGCGCTGACATTCTTTTTGAAATCCTTCCAGAAAGCTAAACTCATAAAAAATAATATTTACATTAGGATTTTGGGAGTTGTACTGTGCCACATACCTTAATAATTGGACCCAAGTTATTCAGTTCTTCTACATTTGAGATTTATATGGAGAGAGAGAGAAACATGCTATGAGTGATTTGGTGTGGTAGGATTTAGACAAATGTAACAATTTTTTCTTTTATTCAGGCTGCAAATAGCTGATTGCCAAGTAATTCTTTCTCCTCAGTTTTAAGCAATATGGCTTACACTTTCAAAGAACTACGACATTCAGACTGTAGTCTGCTGACATCTTATGACACTTTAGGAGTCCAAAAGAAATTAGCAGTTTTGATAGACCCAAATTCCATTTTCCCTATTAAACTTTGGAGGAATTTTGTGCTGTCTTTAGAACTAAAGTGGTACCTTGGTTCTCGAACGGCCTAGTTGTTGAACAAATCAGCTGCCGAGCGCCGCAAATGCAGAAGTGAGTGTTTTAGTTTGCGAACATTTTTCAGATGTAGAACATCCGATGCAGCTTGCCCAGGAAGCTCCTGCAGCCAATCGGAAGCCGCACCTTGGTTTTCGAACAGTTTCAGGAGTCGAACAGACTCCTGGAACTGATTAAGTTTGAGAACCAAGGTACCACTGTATTAACACCACTTGCAATATAAGAAAATCGCGAAGATTTTTGGGTCCAGTGATTCTGCCCTGTGATGTACCATTCTCTTCAGGGTCTAATAATTTGAGAATTGTGTTGGCACTAGTATATAAACCTTTGTCATGTTCTTTTTTTAACCTGGCTTCATCCAGCTCTCATTACATATTATTGTTGACCTTCTTTTTAAAATGTTAATCTCAAAGTTGAAAGGGGGGGCATTCAATTTCCGTTAGCGTCATATAGCAAGTTTTTTTGGCGTTTTATGTGGTGGGGTTATTAGGCTCAGATATGGGATGCGGGTGGCGCTGTGGGTTAAACCACAGAGCCTAGGGCTCTGTGGATCAGAAGGTTGGCGGTTGGAATCCCTGCGACGGGGTGAGCCCCCGTTGCTCGGTCCCTGCTCCTGCCAACCTAGAAGTTCGAAAGCACAAAGTACAAGTAGATAAATAGGTACCGCTCTGGCGGGAAGATAAACGACGTTTCTGTGCGCTGCTCTGGTTCGCCAGAAGCGGCTTAGTCATGCTGGCCACATGACCTGGAATCTGTACACCGGCTCCCTCGGCCAATAAAGTGAGATGAGTGCCGCAACCCCAGAGTTTTCCGCAACTGGACCTAATTATCAGGGGTCCCTATACCTTTACCTATCTTTGTAAATGTTTTTCAAAAACAAACAAACCAAATACCTGTGTGGTGGAAGAGCTTGTTTGAAACCAGTAGTCCGTCCTTTGTATCGTTCTTTATGGTACCATTTGTGCCTTGAAGTTTACACTGTTAGCTTATTATTATTTGTTTTGTTTTTTAAAAAACCCTAATGAAAACCCCAGGCTGCTTTTCACATTTATTTAGTGTGAGGTGTATATGAGATTTTTAGGCCTTACCTTTTTCCCGCTAAGATTTTGAACAATCTTTCAGAAGAAACAGGTGATGCGAACGTTATCTAATTTATGATGGAGGCACCAAAATAATGCTTACTGGTACATAACTCCTGATCATGTGAATCTTTTCTGATTACCTTGAGCATCCTGAGGAATTCTGAAGTGAATTCATTGGCCATCAAATGAGTTTTGTGATGCTACAGTGCCATCTATTGTCCATAAAGCCTAGCACACTCCTAGAGGTACTAAATGGGAAAGTGTTGAATTCATGTGTAGTTAACCACTCAGATAAGTGCAAAGTGATATACAGTGGACAAAATGATCAGGGTTGTTCCTTCTCCATTAATTCAAAATAAAATTTAACTTGTTTGTATTTTGTTCTAGTATCCCCTTTACTATTCAGCGACTCTGTGAACTTCTGACAGATCCAAGGAGGAATTACACAGGAACAGACAAATTTCTCAGAGGAGTAGAAAAGGTAATGTCGTCTTATGGCCAAAATTACAGTTGTACCATTTAACAAATATCCTCAGGATGGTTGTGTTATGGTCAACAGTAATTTTACCCCAAATGAGTGGTTGCCTTTAGCCGTTGTTTAGAGTTTGGCATTATTTGCCTTCTACTTTTTGGTTCATTCATGTTCAATATTCTCATGTACAAAGTGGTATGGCGGAGGTAGCATGGGACTCCCAGGAGCAAGCCAGCAAAAAATGATAACACTTCCTTAGCAAAAGCAAGATCTGCTCCAGAGTGTCAGGCCTAATGAGCACAGCAACTCATCTCCAGCAGGTTTTGCCCCATGAAGCAGTTGCTCAGACTGAAGGTCCCCACCTCCCCACAGTTGCCTTTCCCCTCCTCTCCAGAATTTCTCCCAAGCAATATGAGACTGTGCCCCTGTGCAGCTATCTTCTCTGCCCTCTTCATGCCTCTCCTGGTTCTGGGAGACCAGCGGGGAGGGGAGCTTGTCACAGCAGGAGACACCCTCACCTCTGCCCCTTGACCTCCTTCCTCTCCTGTTTCAGCTTCTGATTCTGATCCTGGACTACTCCCTACCACAGACTGTTCCCGCTCACTAAGCCTTGTTACTTCCTCAGTTTCTGACACCTCCTCCCAGTCTTCTCCCTCTTTGTCGTCCCACCACCAATCCCCTGTCTCTGAGCCTTCTTCACTTGGGGTTTCCCCAGCTGCTTCCTCTTCCCTGGGTGGGCCAGAACCACCAACCTTCTGGTTAGTAACCAGGTGCACTGGCCCATTGTGCCAGTAGCGTGGGGTGGAAGATGAATGTTGCTTACATGTTTGAATAAACTAGCCAGATTTTTGCCTGCAAGTTTCTAATTTGAACTGCCTTCATGGTTTGTAAATTCTGTTTGACTTTCCAATATTACTGAAGACTTTCTCCTCAATAGACTTTATTTAAAAGATGCTGTTCAGGACCTCACATGGGGCTCTGGTGTTCATTTCTGGAAGAAGTGTATGTTGCAAAGGCACAATTACTCCATAGCAAAGATGAAAGCCAGAAATACTTTCCTTTGTCTAAAAATCCTGGCCTCTTGTCTTTTTTTGTCTTACAGAATGTCATGGTCGTTAGTTGTGTATATCCATCTTCAGAGTAAGTGTGACCTTGTTTTCTGTAGTTTGACTATGCACTGCATAAAGAAGTGCTTTCTTTGATCTTCCCTGAATCTTCCAGCAGTCAGCTTCATGGGATGTCCATGGGTTCCAGTGTTGTGAGAGATGGGGAGGAAACCTTTTCTCCACTTTTCTCCATATAAACTATCATGTTGCCTCTTACTCACCTTTTCTTAAAAAAGACCAAAAAGTCCCAAACGCTGCAATCTTTCTTCATAGGGGAGTTGCTCTACCCCTTTGTAATTTTGGTTGCCCCTTTTCTGAACTTTTTCCAACTCCACAATGCTCTTCTGGGGGGGGGGGGAGGTGGAGTTGAGGCAACCAGAACTTTATACAGTAGTCCAAATATGGTCTCACCATAGATTGGTGTAATGGTATTATGATACTGGCAGTTTTGTTTTTATTGCAAATGGACGACTTGCCACATGGAGCTGCTTGCATATTTGCATGCGTTTCATCTTTTGTCTTGTGGAGGGGAGCATTTGGAGGCCCAAAAGCACATAACTTGGAGAGGACAGACATTCAAAATGTAAAAATACTGTTTGGCAAATAATTACACTGTTTTGATATGTGTGTGTTAACATAAGGAATGAAGAGAGTTCTGAAACACTGGAGGGTTTTTTTGTTCTTTTGTTTTTAAAATCATCTTGGTTAGAAGCATTCCACAAGCAGTTTGCAAGACTTAACAACACTTTCATTTATTGTAGGAAAAACAATTCCAATAGTTTAAACAGGATGAATGGTGTGATGTTTCCTGGAAACTCGCCGAGCTATTCTGAGAGGTAAGAGAAAGTGCTTAAGGAAAACAAGTACTGTGAAAAATAAAATCTTCTGATCTTTTTGATCAGTCCTTTATCCTGTCATTCCAAGGTAACCTCTGTGAAGGACCAGGTTTATTAATTGCAAGGGCTATTGGTGTCCTGTTCGTTTTACAGCTTATTTAGATTCTCTTAGATTGAAAGAAATGTAAAACTCCAAAAAATGGTTTGACATGTTGAAAAAAATGATGAAAATTTAAATGCAATTAGACAAGATGAGTCAGGGAGAAAATTTTCAGATTTCAGAATAAGAATATAAAAGTTAAAAGAATGGGAAGTGGTTTCATCTAATAATACAGCAATATCTCTGTGAACGTCTGCCCCATCTCAAGCGTCCATTTCGGCGAACCCAGAAGTACTGGAACTTCCGGGTTTGCTACTCGTGCATGCGCAGAAGCGCAAACCACTCTGCTCGACTTTGTCGAGCGTCCCTTTCGCCAAGTATCCGGGGCTCCGGAATGGATCCTGGGCTCAAAACAAGGTACCACTGTAGTATGTTTGGCACTCCAGACATTTTCTAAAACATTTCCATTGTTTCCTGAAATTAAGAGATCCATGCTGCAATCTATACTTGCTCATTAGGTGGAAGTCCCATGCAATGCAATGGAACTTACTTCTGAATAGCTGTACTTAAGATTATGCTTTTAGATTCTCCCTGCTTCATTATGTGATCATATTCAAAACAGTCCAAATACAAGCATGTAGCTATCTTTCTGTCAAAAATAGTATGAAGCAAAAGAACCTCCTTGTCTTGAACCACAGATCCAACATGTCTTGGGATTCAGTAGCAATTTGTTTACTAAGATGTAAAATTTTCCTGCTTTTGCAGATCCAATATAAATGGTCCTGGAACACCCCGACCCATCAATCGACCAAATGTTTCTTTGTCACCTCCAATGACAACGAACGGTTTACCAGACAGCCCAGAAAATAAAGAGTCAGGTCTCCCACAAGCAGAAGAGAAAATTAGCAGGTTTGTAAGAGGAGTATTTGGTTGGTTTTTGTGTTTCCCATAGACAGGTCTATAACTTTCAATCCACCTTCCATCAGTCAAGCTGTATGTTTGCTTTCTTTTGAGCTCTTGACATGCTTGTGCTCTGAACTGGATATTTCTATGTACTCTGTATACACGCAAAGATTTCTTGTGGACATGGGCTATCCCTAAAGTTGAACCTGTTCCGTAAATCACTAGATCAGGTACCATGAACATCAGTACGGCTACTAGATTACATCTGAGGATAGTGAGGAAATTTATAAAGTGTTAACTGAAGAACTAATAACCTTAACTATTGAGATTCCTAGCAGAGTTTTATTGGTAGATAGTCCTGTCATAGAACTCAAACTATGCAGATGGGACACCACAATCTTGCTTTCATCCTTTATAAATTGTAATAAACACACATTTGAGCAGAGTAGCAGATACTGAAACGACCCAGGGAGACTAGTACTGTAATAGCCACATGCCTCTGACTGCCTGTTGATATGAGATATGAAGATTTTTGTCCACATCAATTCTTTGTCTTTCAGTGAAACGTTGGCATCTGAACCCGAAAGGGTCCAAAGCAGTTCTGTAAAAAATAAACACCCTGAAGAAGATCCGGCCGAAGTTGAGGGGCGCGAGGTAAAAAGACTGAAATTTGACAAAGAGGAGGAAGCTGAAGGGACCTCCAACCAAAGTGGCTCCAGCGAAGTTTGTTCAGCGATGGTAGAAGAGACAGAGACGCCCTCGGCATCTCAAGAGAAAGAGAAAGAAACCGTTTGTGAGAGGCAGCATTGTAAAGAAGAAGAGGAAGAGGAGGAAGGTATATCGCTCATTGAATATCACTATTTTGTATAGGGAAGTTTCTTTGTACTTAGGAATATGGCTTGAATTCAGCTTTTAAATTTTGCATCTGTTAGAAACTCCATCACTCTAGCATTTGAAGGAGGTTAACATTGAATTAAATACTTAACTGCGGGGAAGAAGTGAAGGAATGAGAGGATCTTAATGTTGGTCTTGTTGCTAGGCTATTGTACATATGTTATGTGTGGTAGTGGAGAAACCAGCATTCATAGAGACTGCCCCTTAAACTCTGTGCAGAATCTGTTGCATTCAGTAACTTATCCAAAATTACAGGTAGCTCAGCTCATGCCAGCACACAAATTTGAAGGTGTGTTTGTAGATTAGGTTTGGGAATATGCGCCTCCAATAGTATTCCCACAAACCTTGAGATCACCCAGGTATGGTCTGCTACTTGGTCACCCTGATGGAGATTTCCCCCTTCTTGGCCTTAAGGGCAAGGAGGATGTTACGTCACAGTGGAGCTGCAACAGATTAATTCTTGCCTCTCCTTTCCTCTGTTGGGTATGTTCAGAACTGATTCTGCCATTGGGCTAGGTGAAGTGAACCACCTCAGTTGACAAGCTGCTATTAAATCATAGCAAATTGTCAAGGGCTCCCTTTATTATAGTTCTATCACTGAGGGGCAGTGTAGAATTTGCTTGCTCAGGCTACAAGATACCACGACCCATCTCTGGTTGGGCGACTCAGTGTGTGTATGTGTGCTGCAGGAAACTCACAATTTACGCGGGGTTTACGTTCCGAGGCACCACATGTTTAAGTGAAATCGCATATATTTGAAACACCAGTGAAAAAGCTTGCAAACACCCTGTTCCGCCCCCGCCCCGTTCTGCCCCCTTTTGTGATGTTTCTGGGTCACTTCTGAGTTTGGCCCAATGCTCACGGTCGCAGTCACACACATATCAGACATGCCTAAAACAGTCGCTGTGCTAATTTGGTTCCTTTACGGCAGAGATGATGACAATGGATGCATATGCATGGATAGGGAGGAGAGAGCTTTATTATGTGTGTACTGCACACAGTTGCTACTTTGGTGAATGAAAATAAAGAAATATTCCTGGGTATAACAACTATATATCGCTTGGGTTGAACTTGAACTCTCGATACTTAACGCTGAATTCTAACCCCATTCCAGAATCCCTCATGACGCCCAGAGAGATTATTCCGGAAAGAAAAGATCAAGATAAAGACAATAACACATCCTTAACTGTGAAAGAAGACGTTTCTGAGGAGAATAATCAAATGGAGGAATCTGACGAGACTCAAGCAGAGAAGGACTTGCCTTCTGAAGACAGTGAAAGCAGTGGGTCTGTCAGTAGCAGAGCTGGCTGCAGTGAAACAGAAGAATTGGGCTTGTATGCCAGTGAAACTCCTGAAATGGCGGCAGAGACCCCTATGGAAAACAGCGACGAAGCCACAGAAGCTGCAGAAGAACCTATGGAACAGGATTAATAATTTAAATACACTTAGAGGCAGTATTTTCCATAAGGCTCTGGTTTTACACTGTATAAATAATTTTATGTAATAAAAGTGGACCTTTAGTTTTACAACAAAAGCAGGCTGTAAATTGAACTTGTCAATGAATTAAATCCTGAAGAGCTGTACTAATTAAGAACTGTGAAATACCAGCTCCTTTCAGGTCCTGCTTTACCGCTGAAATTTCAGTATGGTCAAATCAGTGGTCTGTGTATAGTTTTTTTATTTAGAATTAAAAGTTTTTAAACTGGAAGGTAATTATAATTTTGACAACTTTTTGGAGATTACCATGCTTAGCTATCTGTACGCAAGGAAGCTTTTGTCCCATCTGTCTCTTCTCCCCCCCCCCCTCCAAGTAATAATAATGCTATAGCAATTATTTTTCCTCTTTTTTGGTTAGAGTTTCAACATTCAACATGTGAATTGTAGGCTTCTTTTTGGTTTTCAGGTTTTCATTTGACTGCATTGTGTACTTTTTAAAAAAGCTACACACCTGACACACAATACTTGAAAACATGCTAATCTAAAGAGAACCTATTATCGCACTCTTAAGATGTATGGTGTTGTTGTTTTTAATGGAAATAATTGAGCTCATTTCACAGAAGGCAACATTTTCACCTCTGAATAAACCAAATAAAATTTGGCCCGCCTGGAATCCTGAAGATCCGAAAGCCGTTGAACGTACCGGGTTTAAATACATTCCAACAGAACTGCTCTAGCAAAACACTTGCGTACGTTTCTGAGGTGCCTGAATGAAAAGTTTTAATTCTGAGAAAATGTGTTGAGGACAGCCTTCAGTTGCAGCTTTCTGTAGGGGGAATGCTTGCAAGCCTGAGGAAGACAGTATCTCTGAACTGGAGCATTTTTTTCCGGCCTTTCTCAGATGGCTTTTTCAAAGTAGGCAGATGAGACTGGTATAAGAGACTGCAACATTTTCAAGACTTTCCCCTAGTTATGTACCTGAGGTGAACGGCTGACTAGCGTTTGTAGGCGTACATAGGAAAGCTACCATAATTTGTACATCATTTTGAAAGTGCACTAAATATTTTTAAACATGTTACTTTGACAGCCAGTGTTAACCCTTTCTTTTCCAAAGCCAGCTCAAAGCACAATGACTGCTTTAAATTCTTCATATTGTCTCCCCTCCCCCTCCGCCCCGGCACCAAATGTGTAAAAACATTCAAGACGCAACCTCCAGTCTCATTTACTGGCTGCCAAATTTATACCTGTTTCTTCAACTGTACCTTTTTGATATTTAGAATTTTTAAATTTCTGTAAAGTAGATTTTTGTAGATTGTAAAGAGTGCTCACTGCCATTGTGAAACGGTATATAATTGTATAATTTGTGTGTAAACTGAATGCTTGAGCTTTCAATACAGTATTCATATAAAGCAATAAATATTAATGTTATAAAATGTTTGAGTACATTTTAATCGAAATATAAAAGGAATCCCCCTTTTTGGAGGTGAAGTCACATACCATGGAGTAAAAAAATAACCATCAAAAATGCATGCTGACAATTCTTGTACTTCCACGGTGTGCTTCCTTTTGGAGAAGGGTGGGACTGAATTCTGTTTGTATTCCAGAATAATTTGGCTGAGCTTGCATATTTATACGGTGGTAATAAACTGTGCTGTCTTGTCAGGTTCAGACAAGGGGATGCTTATGAAAAAAGTTCAGTTGCTGTTCTGTATACAAAGGAAAAATCAGTTATTCTCCATTTCCTCTTCTGCAGAGGGCTGGGTGTGTGTAATAAGCATTAAGTAGCACTAAAACCAAACTTAGAAATTAGAATTTCTTTCCAAAAGTCCAAGGCTATAAAACATTTTTCTCCCCTCACCTTCCCTTTTTTGCTCTTTTTTTCCTTCAGGGATATTTTGCCAATGAGAACAAATTTTACGTTTTAGAGATTTCTGATTTTTTCTTTAGATGTTTGTTTGTGAAAATATTGTTAATAAACCTATTCTTTAAGCACCTGTGCTCTTTTGATATTGTTATTTTTAACAGAACCCACTGATGCCAGATTTCAACTGTCTTGTAAATAATGAATTTATAAATGTACTAATGCAATGGCAGCAGGAGCTTGGAAAATAAATTCTTAACGGCGCAGTGTTGTAAATGTCTACTGAGAAGTAAATCCTGTTGACTCAAATGAGACTTTCCCCTTCTAAGATGGCAGCCTGAATTGAGTCCACCAGTATTAGTTAGATGGCGGAGCTAATTTCAATCAGCCTGCCTTGGACAGTACAGTTGAGATTTCGTTTTGAAGGCACAATTTAGTTGCTGACTCCATGCACACTAGTTGGCACCCGTGAGCTTGCATTCATTGTCAGTGCTTCGTCTCTGTTGATTTATGTTCCTATGGCCTATCTTTGGGATGGTGGTTAGAGTCCATGAGTTCTGCTGCCCAGGCAATCCCCATTCTCTTATTTGCAGAAAAAAGAATTTAAAGTGTATCGCAACGTTCCATGAAGCACTTCCTCCTACAAGAGAATAGATTGCCCGGGCATCGACACTGGCTATTCACAAAGATGGCACCTTGTTATTGAGCAATTCCATTCAAACCAGGGGCACTTGCTTCCAAGTAAATGTGTTTAGATCTGGAACAAGTCAGATCCCTAATTGCAATGCTCATTGTTGGGGGTGTGGCTGTGTTCTGTGCAACTTAAATTAATCACAGTGAGTTACTATGGAATGTAGCCAAGCCACAAGCGCTATTGCCCTATTAAAATGCAATGACTCCTCCCGACAGTAGACAGCTATGTAAACTGCCTTACACACAATTCATATTTCGTTTGGAAATAAAAAAAAGCCATGATCTCTGCAATTGGGAACGAATCACAACATATCCAGGCTGAGATATTTCTGTGTGGTGTTCTTATATAGGGATGCTGAGGACACATCCAAGCTAATTGTTTCTGACTTTTGGTGATCGTCTGCGCTGCTTCCAGTGGATCACATCCAAAGCTGCTGTTGCACAAGCAGTCCAGACTTTGCTTGTGTAACAGAACTTTCTCTTCCCCCTCACAGCCTCAAAACCTGCTTCAGAGAGTTGGGGGACCCTCTGGAACAGGTGTTTTTGGGGTTGCAGAGGTAGAAGTAGAAGTTGTTGGCTTACAGCCCAATATGGGTTGCAGTCTTGCAGGTAGACGTGGCCTGCTTTTGACGCTAGGTGAGGCGACCCTCTCTACATTGCCCTCCACTCCTGTTGCAGTGGCAGTGCTGTGGTGAACCCCTTGGAGACCATCTGAGCAGCCCCTGCCCCCAGTGCTGCCCCTGCAGTGGACTCTTACCCCAATAGGGAGTGCTGCTCGCCTCCTTCCACAATTGTTCCTATTGCAGATCTTTATCCTCCCCCCTCCCTGCTTGTTCCTGATGTAGATCTTCACTCAACTCCCCCTCTTCTTGGAGGAAGGGGTGCCATTTTATAGTCTGCTTCAGGTGCCAAAATGTATTGGGCTGCCCTGCTTCCAGGGCATTCTCAACCCCTGCCCTAGAATCAATGAACTGATCTGCCACAAATACTACAATCGTCAGGAGACGTGCATTGGAGTTAATCTTCATTTTCTCGTGCAACTGTATTTTCCTATAATGGAGAAAGATGAAAAGTCTAGGTGGTGAAAATGAATTCAACAGCATCCACTGGAATTAAAAAAAAATAATTAATAGTCTCTTGCAGAAGAGTGAAAGAAAGCAATACTTCAGGTTGTGTGTATCACTGACCCATTTTCTCACATCTCAGTAACCTGTTGCTGTGGCGTATGGAAGAAGCATCACCGATTCAAAAAGGACCATTCTGCCCTCTGCTGGGAAATGGGGCTCTCTTCAGCCAGAGAGGTGCCTCACTATTTTTGGTGGCTGCATATGTTTTCAGTCAGCAAGCAGTTTTGAAATCCTGACAGTTCAGTCAAAACAATATAATTCAAGGGACTTAAAAGCAACCACAACAGAGGAGCCATAGGGAGCATTCATGTGTGTGTGTGTGTGTGTGTGTGTGTGTGTGTGTGTCTGTGTTTAGCGCAAATGCTTGTTTTATTAGAGGAGCCAAAATATTTTTGAAAGAAAAGGGAAAAGAATGCTGGAAAGAAAAGAAAAAAGGGTTATATCAGCAAGGGAGAAGCAAAATGGGATAAGATGAAGCCCTTCGGATGTGAAATAAAAATTTCTGGACCAAAATAAAAATAAAAATGCAAACCTTCCAGGAAGGGTAAAAGGGTGGGAAAGGGGGTCTCAACAAGTAGTTTCAGTTGTGCGGGGAGACACAGACACAATCCTCCCCTCATTACTGATCCAGAAAAGCAGTAAACGAAAAGACCAGCTGAAATGGCTGCCAAAAAAGTGACTATTCCCACATCATTGTGTCTCTGCACGTAGGTCACTCACTGTTGTTGTTATTATTTATTGTTATTTACCAAATTACTACCCTGCCAGCAAAGACCAAGAAGTTTTTAAAAATCTCAAAACGTTAAAAACATTTTATTTATTTATTTATTCATTCCAGGTACTGCTTAATATTCAAAATTTCTCCATATGCTTTCTTTAAAGAATAAGAGCAATTAAAATTCACGACAGAGTCAGAAATCACCTTAAAATGCTTGCTGAAATAGGAATGTCTTTGTCCAGCACATTCTCAGTTGAGAGGGCCTTTCATAGGTATGGGCCACAATATATGAATGTACAGTGGTGCCTCGCAAGACGAAATTAATCCGTTCTGCGAGTCTCTTCGTCTTGCGGTTTTTTCGTCTTGCAAAGCACGGCTATTAGCGGCTTAGCGGCTAACGTTTTGTCTTGCGAAGCAAGCCCATAGGGAAATTCGTCTTGCGGAACGACTCAAAAACCGCAAAACCCTTTCGTTTAGCGAGTTTTTCGTCTTGCGAGGCATTCGTCTTGCGGGGCACCACTGTATTGGGGGGTTGGGGGTTGGTAGCTGCAAGCTGTGCATCTGAACCACAGGGGACCACTAACATCTAAAAATAATCACTAACCCTCCCAGGCAAAAATTTTCAAGGCTGCCAGGAACAGTTTCTTTCAGCCATCAAATGCCTGGGTAAACAGAAATATTTTTAAGTTCCTGCTGAATATGAACAATGAGTGAGACAGATGCATCACACCAGGAGGGCATTCTAAAAGTGGGGAGCCACCACCAAGAAGGCCCTGTCGTGGGTTCACACCAACTGAGTAGCACAATCACCAACAGGGCCTCTCCGGCTGATTGTAGGGCCAGAAGTGGTTGCTGTTGAGGCTCTCCGCTAGTTGCCGCTACTGCCTTGGGTGAGCTGGATGGTGACTTGGAAAGAGGCTCTACCTTCCCTGTTCTCTTTTAGGGCTATTAGGTGTATGGGAGCAAGGAGGTGGCAACTTTACACACCACAAAATCTGGTTGCTTCCTGGAAGTTGTAGTCTCTGCCTTACAGATTACTAATGTTGCCAATGGAAGTTCTCTCTCTCATCTGAAGGCAGCCCTGTTTAGGGAAGTTTTTTAATGGCTGATGTTTTAATGTATTTTTAGTCTCCTGTTGGAAGCTTCCCAGAGTAGCTGGGGGAAACCCAGCCGGATGGGCGGGTATAAGTTAATAATAATAATAATAATAATAATAATAATAATATCTGACTTTTTATGTAGAAATAAATTCTCAGCACAAACAAAAATAAGTTTTAAAGCTTTACTTGCAGAAACTTGGCTTAAAACGTTACAAAAAACAATAAACGGCACATTGTCTCAGTTACAAATTTCTATTCTTGCATGCATTGATCCCAGTATAAGGCACAAGAGCAAATCTTTGCCAAAAACCAGCATTTTCAGCTAAAAAGCAAAACAACTCCTGCTTTTTCAACTTGCTGCATTTTGGTCAAGGCCCAGGGAGATCTGTGCCTGCTTGCTAAATGTGCAACTTCATTAACATAAGTAAACACTTTGAAACTCTATCCATAAACCTGAGACTCAAGTCATATGGATTAGCTCACCCCACCTTTGCAATGGAAAACTACAAGCCTTCATCCTTTGTTCAAACAATCTTCACTGTAACTTGAATACAATTATAATTATACACCATTTTAAGTAACATTAAATAATTCCAACTTGCCCTACCTGCCCCTGCCCCTATTCTGACTTAGTTGTTGAGGTTACTCAGCGATGAGCTTAAAGAAAAAAAATATTGGAGACAATCTAGACTGCTGAGCTGGGAGGCCAGTCTCAATCCCACTTAGCCGTGAAGCTCTCTGCCAGACAGGAATTTAGTGCTATTTTTCTAGAAGAAGAGGTGCCAGAATTTACCATGAACACCTCCCCCCTTCTCTTGGAATGGCTGGTATCTATTAAAGATTGGAACACACTTAGGATATTTGCCTAAGTTAATTAACTCTTCACAGGCTAATTGCTGATGCTCAGAAGTAGGTCCACATATTCCAAGACGCATGGTGCTTGATTACATCCTCAAAGTCTGACACACGGTCTCTACACATAAACACTAATTAAACCTCCGAACCCCTTTCATATAGCTGCCTTTCTAGTACACACTGAGACCATCTTATATCCCAGTAATAACATACAAGTTCTAATTAAATCCTAATATTTAGTATACCTAAACATTTAGCACCACAGATCTACTACAATGTTTTCTCTATTTTTTTCTATTTCTTTGCTCCCTGCTGCTGCAATTGAAAATATTCAATGGTGAACAGGCTATAAAATACTGTAGAGAAATAATAAATAAAAACTGGGGGAAAGAAATATTGACAGACGCTTCCATTACTACCCGAGACCCACAGAAAAAGTATGAAATATGAATAGAATAAATGAAGTTCCCCTGCTCAAACACACTGCTAGGACTCCTCAGGTTTCAAGCCCTGCACTTGAAATTGGTTCCTGCCTTTGAAATGGTCTTGGTATTCATGCCAGCTGGGTAGGAACACAGGTTAGACTGTGACTGTGTACTCATTACCGTTTTACTCTGGCTACGGTGTGCTCCCGTCGCTGGCTTTTGAATCCTTGTACACACAGTGTTACCCACAATTCAGTGCTATCCTGTAGTTTCTTGAGAAATACTGCTGTTTTCCTTCAAAGCAGCTTCCAACTGTTATAAGAAAAAAACTGCTTCTTTTCCCTTATGGGGTACCCAAGAGCCCGTATAGAGTCCTTATGTAGGTTCTCTATGGGTAGGAGAAAAATCAACAGAGGCCAACCAGAGAATATTGAGAAGCAAAGCAGCTAGTAAGCCTGATCTTTATTAAACTGTTGCAATAGGGTGCTCACCCCCCCATGCAGGAGGGAGGAGGAACCCAGAACATTGGTGTGCAAGCTCTTATATAGACTTTTGAAATTGCCCACCCTGTAGCCCAAGACCACCCAGTGGCGGAGCTTCATGCGTGTCCGGGGGTGGGACACGCCGCCTGCAGGGGCATGGCACGTGTCCTGGGGGCGTGATGTGTGTTCTGCGGGAGTGGGCCACCCAGTGCGACTGGGGGGGGGAGCCACGATGGCACCCTGGGGATCACGCTGCCGGGGGCAATGCGCTCCCCCCCGCACTCCTCTTCCTCCGCCAGTGAGACCCCCCCCTGAAACATCATACATACATCACAGAAGGAGGCGGTCAACAGCAGAGGAGGCGGTCTACAGCAGAAATTCTGTCTGTCAGATACCTGATAATGGTCACTGATTGCATTTTCTGGGCGGTCTGGCCATTCTTTTGTGATGGTAAACACTCCATTCCTGAATCTCTTTTGCATATTGATAGTGTGCTCAGCTTAACAGATACTTGCCAGACTTTATTCGAAAAGGGAGGTGTAAGCCCCTACAGTCCAAAGGCAATTAGAAAGCTTTTCCCATTTCCTTCCTCCTTGCAGAGAAATATTTGAGGTCAATTTGGGAGTCAAAATGGCTTCAGGATTGTTCTCCTGTACTATTTCAGGCACATGGTTTATATACTTATGTATGTATTTGCCTGGTACATTTATTAACATTTATTTTATATCTTAGACCTTATAATTCTCCTAATACATGCAAAAGGAAAACTTGAGCCATTGCACATGCACAGATGAACAGCTTCGTGCATAGGAGTTCAGAGGGCTGCTGGGGGGTGGAGAAACTAAGCAAGGGATGTGTATCGGGTGACGACACCCCTGCCCCTTCTCTGGTGTGCATGGCAATGTGCAAATATGCCTTGAAACACAGCTAAGGTGTGCATAGCCTATATGTCCATTGAGCCCAATATGACATGACAGTTGTGGTTCTCGAGAGTTTTCCACAAAGGTCTTCCCCATCACTTGGAGGAGGGGATTATTGGGTTGCTCTTGTTTTTGCTTTTACTATGTCTTTTGTGTTTTTATATTGTGATTTTATGCTGCGAACCACCCTGAGACCTGTGGGTATAGGGCAGTACACAAATTTAATAAACAATAAAATACTATAATGGCTCCCTAAGAACATTTTACTGGAGGCTGTGAGGACTGAACTTTGGGGCTTCCGGCACGTAAAACACCTTGTCTACTGCTAAGCCATGGCTCCTCCCATAAAGGAGTGGAGGAAAGGCAATAGCTCAGTGGTACAGCATCTGCACTGCCTGCAGAAGGTCCCAGGTTCAATCCCTGACGTCTCCATGTAAGGCTAGGAGAGAACCCTGTCTAAAATCCTGGAGAGGTGTTGTCTGTCAGTGTAGACAATACTGAACTAGATGGATTAATGGTCTGGCTCAGTATAAGGCAGTTTCCCATGTTCCCAACCAGGGCCGTCTAAAGCATATCCGGCGCCGTGGTGCAAAGATCCCTCCGGCGCCCCACCCCCCATTTCCCAGAGTTGTCAACCTTTTCCTAATAATAATAATAATTATTTATTATTTATACCCCGCCCATCTGAGTTTCCCCAGCCACTCTGGGTGGCTCCCAATCAAGTGTTAAAAACAGTACAGCATTAAATATTAAAAACTTCCCTGAACAGGGCTGCCTTCAGATGTCTTTTAAAGATAGGATAGCTGCTTATTTCCTTCACATCTGAAGGGAGGGTGTTCCACAGGGCGGGCGCCACTACCGAGAAGGCCCTCTGTCTGGCTCCCTGTAACCTCACTTCTCGCAATGAGGGAACCGCCAGAAGGCCCTCGGCACTGGATCTCAGTGTCCGGGCTGAACGATGGGGGTGGAGACGCTCCTTCAGGTATACTGGACTGAGGCTGTTCAGGGCTTTAAAGGTCAGCACCAACACTTCAAATTGTGCCCGGAAATGTACTGGGAGCCAATGCAGATCTCTCAGTGTTATGTGGTCCCGGCTGCCACTCCCAGTCACCAGCCTAGCTGCCGCATTCTGCGGGGATTGCTCTCCTCCTGCTGGGGCTTGGGAAGGAAGCTGCACACCCACCAGCCATATGGTTGATGGGTTGCAGCTGGCGGGTGTGCAGGAGGGAAAGGGGAGGCCGCCGGCAAAGCTGCACAGCTCCCCCACTTGCTGGGGCGCCCCTGAAAGGCCGCGCCCTGGCGCAACACGCCAGTAAATCCAATGGGAAAGACGGCTCTGTTCCCGACTCTTCAGTAAAGAACTGAGATGTTGTCACAGCAAAAGACATGTGGAACAATGCAACTGAGGACCAGCAAAGTGTCTCTTGCTGCTGATGAATGGCACGAGGACAGTGTGTTGTCTGGCAATGCTTATTCAGCCAAGCCATTGACAGGTTGACATTAAACAGCCTGTAAATCAAGAACATCTCTCTGATTTTTTACAAATAACCTGTCTGGTGCCTGCGCCTTTGTGCACTCCCTTGGGTGACGGCTGGATGGCTTAGTAGCAGCTAATTATTTAACTAGAGGAGAAGTTTGATCTCCGTAATTGTCTGATGGTATCAGGACGGTGTTTTGTGTCTCCCAGCAATTCTCCTGGGAGGTCCGTGTGGCAGCGCAGCAAAAGGCACACTGTAGTTTGCTAATCCAGAGTTTGGTTCCGCAATGCACAGAAATAAGTGCTTGCTACTTGTTGTTTAAATAGGTGAACTGCTTAATTCCGGCACTCCGTTTAAGATGGTGAGTAATAGCAATATGTACATTCTCAACAAAATTTGAAGCTAAGGGATTAGCAGGGCTTTGTTAATACTGGCAGCGTTATTTTGGAAATGCCTGAGAGGCAGCCATGCAAATTTGTATTGAAAGGCAGCCATTGCTAAGCCTACTGACAGACGACTTGTGTTGTGTTCCTTCTCCCTCTTATTTTAAAAAATGATTTTAAAAAAAATTAAGAATAACATGAAGCAATGCAAACAGCAAATAATGGGTATTGGTCAGCAGAAAGTCATGATGTGTATAAGGCAGAAAATAATAGCAGCATGTTAGGTTAAATAACCAAGCCAAAAAGATGTTTGAGTTACTGGAGGTCTAGGTTCCCTTCCCCCTCTTTTATGGCACCATTTATCACAAACTACTGATCTAGAGTAGAAACTATTTTTATTTCAGCGGATTTCATTCCTTTGACTTGTAACACTGTGCTCAATTATGTGTTTGGAAGCTCCACCGAGACCAGCGCAACTTAGCTGTACATGGAACCATAAAGAATGCGCAGGTCTGGCCTGATTGCAACAGAGTAAATACAGTGTATTAATACATATGTTTCTGCAGATTAAATGCATATATTTATTTATCTATCTGCTGGATGGACAACTTCAGATACTTTTTTCTGGTTCTAGATATGGGAGTTAAATTTACATAATTATAATAATTATAATAATACACCAGGCTGGGTTTCCTCAGTTCAAGTATAGGCTTGCCATAGGTCAGGAAAATTCCTGACATGTCCTGGTTTTTGGGTGTAAAAATGGCGTTGGGGGCCAATTTCGCTGAATCGGCAAAGTGTCGGGAAAACCCAAATGTATGGCAATGCGATGGAAGAAGCAGTGGAATCAGCTCCAATAGCTGAAAATCACTGGGGTTTTTTTGGGGGGGAGGGAATGTTTCCCCCCAAAAGCTCCACAACTTTGCGGGTGTCAGAAATTTTACATGGCAATCCTAAAGTTACATCCCCACTCACAAAAAATTCAAAATACTAAAAGTATAAGCAGGAAGCCTATTTTTACATGCCGTTACCAATGTATGAACTGAAAATGACAAGAGGTACCTGCAACAAAATGTGGCAGCATAGAGTACTCCTGTTCATTGTTCCGGTCAGTCAGCAATGCCTTTCTTCAGTTTGTTGCAGAATTCCATCTTCCATCTGGTTTTCCACCACAAAACCACCAGTTAGCATTCTATAACCACTGAGTATGCTTATACCTTATTGGACTGTTTTGGGGTTCTGTCTTGGAGTTTTTTCCTATATATATATATATATATATATATAATTCTGCAAACCTTGCGCTTCTCCCAAGCCTTCTGATACCTCCCTTTCTGCACGAGTTCTGCTATTCTGGGTATGTAAGAGCAACACTCACCTGAGCACTGTGAAATAGATGAAATGATGCGTGTAAAAATTCTTGATAAGAAATTCGACAACTTATTGACTACTGGACGGTTTTGCTATCTGGTTGGCTCGCTCCCGTGCGCATAAAAGGGTGCTTTCCTCATTCATTTGAACGGCTTTTGCTGGGCAAGATCACCAATGTCCAGTAGAGGGAGCACCATGTTTGGAAATTGGAGGAAGAAGGATTTGTTATGCAAAAAAATCACAAGGAACATTGAGGCAAAGAGACGTTTTCTGCCTCCTATGTCCTAAACCCAAGAAAGTATGTAAAAAGTATTTTTTCGGATTACCTGGCATCATGCAGTTTATGCCTTTTCCCCTGACCCCCCTCATCTACCTATGCCAGGGTCAGCCCAAGACATTTTGGCACCTGATGCAGACTCCCAAATGATGCCCCCTCCCCACCAGGGAAGAAAGAGTGAGGAAATACCTACATCAGGAGCAAGGGAGGAAGGAAGATTGACATCTGGATCTGCTGACCCTGTAGATCCTGCCACCTGAGGCGGCTGTCTCAACTTGCCCCATGCATGAGCCGGCACTAACCTATGTACAGGTGAGAGCTTTTCAAAGAGCTGGGGGCAGCCTGTTGGCCTCTTGTTAACATGCACACCTTGCCAGGTTTTCTAGCAATTACTGGCGGTGCAGACTTTTCTAGAATTTCAAGCTCTGCTCCTTCCAGAAGCATGCAACAGAGTTTGCCACAAGCCACTTTTTGGTGCAACTGTTGTGGGTGCCCTGTGCCCAGTGCACTTTTGGAACTGTTTTTAAACTTATTTAAAAAGTACACAACAGTGTGGGATCCATTTACATGACTGATCACTGCACCAGTTCAAAAGTGGGTGTACACAGAGTTAATACTCTAAGTAACACTCTGCCATTCCAAAACATTTTAATTCCCTTATTACTTTTCTTAAAGTATCCCTTAGGAGCATGGGAATTAACTAGACCAGAGGCTGATTATAATGTGGTTTAGCAAAGCACATTGACTTGCATGAGATATTTAGAAGTTGCTGCCACGTGTCCTTAGGGTAATGGGTCAAACTTCCTTCCCCTCTGCACCTTCCCCCGCCATACTTCCCCCCTTTTGCAGAAGAATTGATGCTTTTGAATTATGGTGCTGGAGGAGACTCTTGAGAGTCCCATGGACTGCAAGAAGATCAAACCTATCCATTCTGAAGGAAATCAGCCCTGAGTGCTCACAGGAAGGACAGATCCTGAAGCTGAGGCTCCAATACTTTGGCCACCTCATGAGAAGAGAAGACTCCCTGGAAAAGACCCTGATGCTGGGAAGATTGAGGGCACAAGAAGAAGGGGACGACAGAGGACGAGATGGTTGGACAGTGTTCTCGAAGCTACCAGCATGAGTTTGACCAAACTGCGGGAGGCAGTGGAAGACAGGAGTGCCTGGCGTGCTCTGGTCCATGGGGTCACAAAGAGTCGGACACGACTAAACGACTAAACGACTAAACAACAACACTGTATATATTTTCAGCGACTTCATACAAGCATTTAAAGCATATTTAAACCACACGGCTCCCCTCAAAGAATCCTGGGATCTATAGCTTACCCCCTCACTGAGCTACAGTTCGCAGCACCCTTAACATAATACACTTCCCAGAATTCTTGGGGGGGGGGAGTCATGTGCTTTAAATGCTTGGTGTTTATGTTGCTAGTGTGTTGTTTTCAGGCAGAGTGAATTAACAGTGTGGGGAGAGAGTCCTACCAGAAATCCTGGAGAAGCACTGGCAGTCAGTGGAGACAATACTGAAGTAGATGGATCAATGGTCTGAGTAGTATAAGGCAGCTTTCGATGTTCTTGTCCCCTTAAGCCCAGTCCTGCTGTCCCCTTAGTATGTTTTAAATGTTTTCATTTTATTGAAACCATATCCTGTCCTTTCCTTTTAAAAAAAACCCAAACACTCTAGGCAGCTAATGAGAAAGGAAAAATACAAGAGAATTTTAAAAGCAACCAGTCTTGACAGCCATATGCACTATACATTTAAAGCAGCATCATTCCACTTTAAAGAGTTGTGACTCCCCCCCCCCAAAAAAAAATCATGGAAACTAAAGTTTGTTAAGGGTGCTGAGAGATCTTGGGGACCCTTATTCTCCTCACAGAGTTAAAATTCTCAAAGTGGTTTAACAGCGAATCGATCTTCACAGGAAA